TTCGTGCTTATGTTGGAAACCTTCAACTTGATATATCAATCATAAAGTTGTAGAAAAATTGATTTTTTCATGGATTTTTCTTAAACAAATGCAGCAACTCGGCAGAAATGCGGTGCCTTACTCAAAAAATTGTAACTTTAAGAAAAATTAAGATAAAGTAACTTAAAAAAACTGCAAATTGAAGGTTAATAATGCAGCTTTAAGAAAAAAAATATTCCGCTTTATTTCTTATTAGCAGACCCGCTTGCAAAGTATAATGTTTAATTGCAAAATGTCATCGGAGAGGCGCTGTCGGCACTAGATCAGAAAAACCTCGGAACATCTTGGACCCCTAAAGTGGGAACAATTTCAATACATGGCGTTAGATTTCCTTATACTACTTCGTGTATCAGCTATCCAGTTAGTATATAGATTAGTGCCACGAATCTAATAATTTCCTTGAAATTACCCCGAAAGCAGCGGAAACAGAAGGGAGCAACGAAGGGGCTCTTTCTCTCCCTTTCCGATTTGCTGCATTGCGCGCACAATCGATTCTCGGAAAAAGAGAGATAAATCGGGATAAAACGGCGTCCATTTCCTCCCCTAGTAGCATAAAATAATTTCTAAATATTTGTTTATAATCTTTGCTAAATATCTCAAGCTACAGATTTTTTAAGATTTCTTGTAGATTTCATTATCTGAAAATAACTGAAATATTTGTTGAAAATCTCAATGACATTTTGTTTTCAAATCAAATCTCAATGATATTTTGTTTGAATAATTCATAAACATATATAGAAATTTATGAACATGTAATAAACATACATTTTTTACTTCACGACTATTATCGGACACTTCATTTGTTATCAAAAAACACGAGGAATTTTTCTAATACTTCCGTTCCGCTATTTCATTATGGGAGCAAAACGTGTGATTTTGGTTTTAAATCTTTTTAAAACGTTTATAAGGTATTCGGCAGATAATATTTAAAAAATACTTGTATTAAAATGAAATGAAATGTTTTGTATATCTGGTAGAAAAATATTATGAATACACATGGAGGTAATATTATATAAATATTATAGGGATAATATTCTAAAGTAAACCTCTTGCAAATATTTCAAATGTCTGGTAAATATTTACAAAATGTACGATATTCGTTAAATATATAGAAAATATAGGACAAATATTTTGTGCTACTAGGGTATATTTCGGCTCCACCGCCTTCCATGGTCGGATCAGCGCGCGGGCTCGATGCATCCCTCGTCTACGGCACCTTGGCGATGATGCCGCGACCCGACCTAACCTCACTTTGATTCTCCCGGCGATTCTCCCGCGATGGCGACAAGACGTCCGGCGTTGCGATCTCCGGGGGTGTCGTGAAAAACTCGTTGCATAAACTAACATTGGTTTTAAATGAAATACTTCCGCGATAAAAACCAGTGCATTAAAATAACCACACCCAAGACAACGAACGAAACAATGTAACAACATATTAAGGTGAAGTGAAACCCCCTTCAAATCAGTCGATTTGAATACAACACTTTTTTTTTAAGGGTATTAGACCAAATTGTCCGAAACTGACACATCACTCCTGATCGTCTAAGAATTGTCCTGACACATTTAAAATTTGGATTCTGGAATAAATTTTTTAACTCAGCCCAAACCAGAACCAAAATGGCGTCGAACTCTCATATTTCGATCAATATACAATTATCGAAGGCTCCGATATGAGAAAGGAGAATTTTACAACAATTTAAAACACTCTGGTAATCGATAAACTCGCATTTGAACGGGATAAAGGCAAAAAAAGTGTTGTATGCGCTTCTATGCCAAAACGATGGGAATACGAGGTCTCGGAGTGAAAATTTAATTGACCTGGAAATCACAGATGGCGCAGGGGGTCCCTCTGCAGTCAATTAGGGCCCCAGAAAGCATAAATTCAGAGGATTTCTGGAGATTTACTTTGATTTCTTGATATTTATTGTACGAAAACGACAGGTGGAGTATGCCATTTGGTACAAAACCCAATATAATTTGACACAGATGTTAATATAAAAATGAACTTCGGCAACGTAGGCATTTAGAAAAATCTTCTTTATCGACGTCGATCAAGTTCCTCGACGTGTTTCACTTCACCTTAAGACCTGCAGAAAAACAAAGCTCGCGGGAGACGTTCTGGTAACGCCGCGTCGCCACCCAAAGAAACAACCGGGGTGGATAGCTACCATCTCCTCATGCTCTTACAACCCATAAAGAAGACAAACTCGAATGCGAAACAAAGAAATAACACCCAAAACGGCGTAACAGTTTGATTTGACTAAGGTGTCCTAACGGACACTGCAGGCCAAAATAGGTGCTGGAAAACGCCATCGCGGTAACAGAACGGAACTTAACCTCCCTTCTCCTAGGTACACCGATTCCACCGAAGCGTACCAAAAACGAGTTTGAAAGTCCCCGCAATGGTCGCGGGGCTCGCAAAGATTTCGACGGTGTCTCATAATCGCCATCGGGGCGGTATAATAATAGCCCCGTTAATAAGGACGGCGGGGGGTGGGCGAGGGCGTCGCGGCGCGCGACATACCCACGCCGTTCGGCGGTACAAAGTGCGGGGGGTAGGACGGGGCGTATTATGGCAGCGTACCGGGGAGTAGTATCTTAAATGCCAATGATTTCATGTCTCCCCTGGGAGCTCGGGGTGCAACCGGCCGCTATATAGACGGCCTCGCCCGACCGAGGTGTCGCCAGTCTGCGAGGTCGCAGCCGTCGAGAGGTACGCGCCGCCACCCGCGGGACCTCCCGGAGGCCTCCGCCGAGAGGAAGCGTCCCGGTGAAAGTGCGGCCTTCGCCGGCCGCCGGCCCCGGAGGGCAGCCCGTAAAAGTGAAGGTTGCCGAAAATCTCGTCTCGGGCCTCGGTTCGTAGGCCGCGGTCTAGACCTCTTCCTGCCGCCTCTCGGCCGAGCGGAGATGATCGCTATGGACGGCGCTCATCCGCGGTACCGTAGACACTGTATGTACAGGTTTAGGCTCTGGCTACTTTTTACCTTACTTTCTCGGTAAACGGCCTGTGTATAGGCTCTATCAACTTTTTACATTATTTTCTTAGTAAACATTGTATGTACGGATTTAAACTCTGGCAAAGTTTCACCTCATTTTTTAAGTGAACATTGAATATGGACGCGTTTAGGTTGTTCCATTTTATCGGTAAACGTTGTTTGTGCTCTATCAAGTTTGTATGTTGGTCTCTGCGTGAATGCTGTATGTACAGGTTTAGGCTCTGACTACTTTTTACCTTACTTTCTCGGTAAACGGCCTGTGTATAGGCTCTATCAACTTTTTATGTTATTTTACGAGTAAATATTGTATGTACGTCGTATATGCAGGCACTATATATTAACTTTTTACATTGTTTTCCTAGTAAACATTGAATATGTACGGGTTTAAGTTCTTCCATTTTATCGGTAAACGTTGTTTGAGCTCTATCAAGTTTGTACGTTATTTTCTGTGTAAATGCCGTGTGTACAGATTTAAGCTCTTTAACTCCACGCGTTACAAAATAATTTTCAGCTTCAGAGTGATTTCTCGAAGTAAAAGTTCAAACGTTATGCAAGGACCAAAATGATTAACCCCAATTATACACCTGCAATAATTTAGAGTTTAATATTGCTTGCCATTAAATAAAGAAATATCAAACAAAGTGTAAACATAATACGAAAAAAAAAAAATGTTAACGGCCCGAGTTGTCTCTTAGGGGAAAGAAGACCAACCTAAAGACCAATAAGGAATAAGTGTTACGCACGAAGTTAAAACTTTTGTACGAAGTTTTTTACGCGTTATGCGTGAAATTACCGCTAATGCGTGTCCTTTTAAATAAAGGAATTTCCGAGTAAACATTGTACGTGCAAGCTGTATCAACTTTTCACATTATCTTCCCAGTAAACATTTTATGTATTGGTTTAAGCTTTATGAACTGTTTACGTTACGCCTTTTCTCTGAATATGGTGGTGTTATATGACATGGAAGACATTTATGTTCGTCCCTGTACAAGTCCAACATGTATAAGCGCTTTCCATTATTTTCGTAGACACGGTACAGGTTCAGGATGTGCAAAGTTCTTCGGTTGTTTTCCTAGTCTCTGAATATATAAGTTTAAGCTGACTAAATCTTCCCTTTGTTTTCCTAGATACCGTATATGTTGGTTTAGGATGTCTGATTCTCTCAATGGCTGTTATGGACGCTATAAATACGTTTAGTCTTAATCTCTCAATATACCTTACGAACTCTAATTAAACGGATTCATTCTACATTTCGATTGCTTTCCTAAACCCCTTATATGTGCCCGTAATTATAAAAGTGATCTAAATCATTTTTAAAAACTAAAAACTAACCGTACATTATTGCAATTTAAATGTATGCAATGCATATTCAGTTTTTCTTTTTTGATTTTTAACATAGTCTACTTTCTTAATGACTGGCACAATTATGTACGTTCACATTGACTAAATCGCTGCCTTTGTGAATACTTTGGATAGATTGCACCAACCCTCGAGTTAAAATCCTTAATCGAGGATTACTTTGACTTACACGTGACAAGAGTTAATCGCCTGATTTCAGGTGGTTACCTAAGCGGATTTTAATCCTCCGGCGGCTTAATTTTCCTCGGTGCATCGGGAATTTCACTGACCCGAGATCAATTAATCATCGTTAAGTAATTTCCCACTGATCCGCAACCGATCCTTAATATAGACATTTAAATTTCTCGGTTGCTTTTCGACACACTGTATGTACAATGGCGGACATACATACCCCTCTGCAGATATGGTGTAGCACCAGGGCACGAAAGGAAAGCTTTTATGTCCACCGATATACGGATTTAGACTGTCTCAATTTTGTCGGGATACTAAAGCCATCTCGCGGGCACATCCGATCATCTTGGGACATTCTGATATGCCATTTACGGCAAACTTAATATAATTTATCACCGACAAGAATGATGGAACGGTTAATTTCTGGTTTTTTAGGGCAACTGCACTCGCCGAGCGCCGAATCCGAGCACGCAAACGGCACTCTGAATAGAGCGATCTCTCGGACGGAGATCGATCAACCTCATCATCAGCATCAGCAGCACCAGCAATCGCACCAGCAACGGCAACGACCGGCATCCATATCCGACTCTCCTCTTCCCTGCAACAATCAGGCGACCACCACGACGGCCACCGCCTTTACCGTTGCCTCAAGCATGCTTTTGCTGCAGACCCAGGTTGGTCCGTTCGACCATCTTTTCACCTGTTTTACATTCTCGAAACTTTCTATTATAGACTTCCCATCGCAGCCCAGTGGTTCTCCGTGGATCCCGAAGTTAGTCGGAATCCTTCCCAATTTTTTTCCACATTTTTTTACTATTTTTTAGACGTTCCCGATGTGTACGATAAGGCTGAGAAGGCGTGAGAAACCGCCAGCGAAAGTCTCGCGCGACCGTAGCGCCACTCTACGTGAACTACGGAAAGTGGCGGAAGAAGTAATCAGAGATGTCCAATTCGAGGTGGAACTGGGGGCAGAAATAATTTTCTGGGAAATAGAAAACTCTTGTCTGAAATAGATCTTTCATTCCTACTGTGAAGATAATAAGTTATAGGGTTTGTGAACTTAATACAATATACACTGTTGAAAAGAATTCTGTGAATTTTATAACATTTTTGATGGCAGTTTTATTCAGACATGGTATACTAATTCTATAACAGTTTCAAATAAAATATATAACATGTGTCATAAATTTAGTACACACGTATGTAATAAAATTATGAAGGATATTGGTAATTTTATGATATATGTATCATAATTGCAGGATATCCGTGTGTAATAAAATTATTAAAAAAAGTAATAATTTTAGAAGATGCATTTACAAGATTATGAAATAGTGTCATAAAATTAAGAACTTATAAAATTAGAAAAAGAAATAGAAAATTATGACATCACGTTATAAGATTGTAAATTTATTTTGAAGTTTGCAACAAATGTATACTAGTTCACTTTTAAGACATCAAATTTATAATTTTACTGCAACCTTATGTACTAAAAGTGTATGAATTTTATGAATTTTTTTAACAGTGTACGTTGTACGAATACTCCAAATGATGCTCACTTTTCTTGAGCTTAACTTCATCAAGCTCTCTTTATCCATTTCCATAAGAGTATCTGAATGTAAACAAACGTCTTGGGATGAAAAGTTGATTTATTTCAAAAAGCGACTTTGAAAGAATTCGTAATATTCTTGTACCGAATTAGAATTTGACAGACTTACCACGCGTCCCATATTTTCCCTCAAACCTGACAGTCACCGGAAAACTGATTCTCGCATTAACAACAAAACAATATCTAGTCATTATTATTCACTTTTTATATAAAGTATTAAGTTGTTTAAATTAAGTACAACCCTTTGCAGAAAAACCATCATACAACTTACATAGACATTTGTCAATGCTTGAGACTGATTTTGTCTTTTTACAGACTCATTTCTATTTCATACTACCTTGCCATCGAATCGTTGATTCGCAACATCGATGATTCCTATAAAATCAATTTGGCAGGAGCTACAAAGTTTCTTTAGCAAGAAACATTTAAACTGCCGTTAAGACTTTTTCGCCTGAGAAGTAAACTTTTCACCCAGGATGAACAGGTGGTAATACGTCGCCATAAGATTTTAAACTTTTAACAATATTACGCGATTTTTATTGACATATTTCATGACCCAATTGCGCGGTGTGCGAACGTGGATTGAGTAGGCGAGAAGGGAACATTGTGGACAGAAGGGCATAGTGTAAGGTTCACTCCGTCTCCCTGAGTGAGCTTTTTCATCTTGGCAAGGAAATACAAAAAAAAAAAGAAATTAACTATACGAATACATAAATTAACTACACGTATTATATGCGACCCAAGACGATTCCTGCACACTCAATACGGCCCAGACAAGCCAAAAGGTTGGACACCTCTGATGCAGATCTATATTTCATAAACGGTACTTAGGAAGAAAAAAAAAAGACGGTACGACCTCATGACAGTACAGCCGCGTTTTAAACACTTTTTTCTATACTTAATTTCATTCGAAAGGGATTAAAATTGGTGAAAGTCAGAATAATCCCCGGGCGAACTCCAGAAATCTATCAAAAATTCCGGAACCACAGGCTACAGAGAAGAGACGAGAGAGCCAAGGCTATCTTAAGGTGAAGTGAAACCCCCCTCAAGTCAGTCGATTCAAATACAACACTCTTTTTTAAGGGTATTGGATTGTCCGAAACTTTGACACATGACTCGTCAGCACCTAGGAATTATCCTGACACTTTCAAAATTTGAATATTTAAAAGAATTTTTTAACTTAGACCAAAACCAACATGGCGTCGAGCTCTCATATTTCGATCAATATACAATTATAGAAGGCTCTGATATGAGAAACGAAAGGGTCAGGACAATTCCACGACAATTTAGAACACTCTGGTAATTGATAAACTCGAATTTGAACGGGATAAAGGCAAAAGAAGTGTTGTATGCGCTTGTAAGCGAAAACGATGGTAATCCGAGGTCTCGGAGTGAAAATTTAATTGACCTGGAAATCACAGATGGTGCAGGGGATCCCTCTGCAGTCAATTAGGGCCCCAGAAAGCATGAATCCAGAGGATTTCTGGAGTTTTACTTCAATTTCTTTATAATTATCGCACGAAAACGACAGATGGAGTATGCCATTTAGTACAATAGTCAATATAATTCGACACGGCTGTCGAAATGAAAACGAACGTCGGCGACGTAGGTATTTAGAAAAACCTTTTTTTACCGACGTCGATCAAGTCTCTCGAGGTGTTTCATTTCACCTTAAGAACCGTTGACCCGAAAATCCGAACGTTCCACTTTGAGCCCAACCCCTCCGCAACCTCGAGGGTTGGAAAGTAGGCACATAATACTTCAAATGATGCATGACGTATGCATTGCAACGTCTGTGACGATCATTCGAGAAACACAAGCCACGGGATGAGCTCGAGACCAAAGTGGAACCCGCGCCTTCCGGGAACCATTTTGCCCCGTCTCGCGAGACCTCTTCGGCCGCCTCTCCGTTGGAACGTTTAATTCCTTCCCGCAGGCTAATAAAGCCGCCTCGTGCATAAAGGCGTGAGAAACTATAGTTTCAACTATGATTTCACTGGAGTCAAAGTTTCGAGCCCGGACCTCGCTCGTCGATCCGACGTCGTCCCTAATTCGATCCGTTATTTTCGGCTGGCTAATTGATCCGGGGAAAGGATGTCAGAACCGCCGATTATTAATTCATCGGCACCCGGACCGTTACCGCCCTTTATCGAGCCGATTATACCTATATATTCCCAAACCTTGGAAACACATTTTTAGCGGGCTCCATTCCAGATTTACTTCATTACAGACGGTATCTTCTGTTATCTAATTTTAATAAATCTATATAATGTTTCAGTTATTAGTGATGTTTATTAAGATTCATAATGAGATTTTAAATAGAATTGGGTAATATGATTTAGTTATCGGCAACATTTAAAAAGATTAATTGTTTACTCCCAATAGTTTTGTATATGTTTCAATTAATAGTGACTTTTAAAGAAATCATTGTTTATTTCCAATACATTTGCAGAATACGCTTCGATTAATAGCGATGTTTAAAAAGAATCAACGTTTAATTTCAATACTTTCGAATAATGTGATCCAGTTAATAACGACATTTAAGAGTAATTGTTTATTTTCAATAGATTTAGAGGTGTTACAATTAGTAACGAAGTTTAAAAGGAGTGATCGTTTAATTTCATTAGTTTTGTGTTATATGTTCCAATTAATAGGGACGTTTAAAAAGAATCATTACTTAATTTTAACAGATTTGTATATTATATTTTAATTAATAACAGTGTAAAAAAAAAACAATTGTTCAGTTTCAATAAACTTGCACCCTGTGTTTCAGTTATCGGTGATATTTAAAATAATTGTTTGTTTTGCAATAGAATTGCATAATACGTTTCAACTAATGGCAATATTATAATAATTGTTGTACGTATGCGAGGGATAGAAGGTTTTTTAGAAGACCCATTTTCCATCGGCTGTGTAGGAGGGAAGGTGTACGATCATCAATGGCTCAATATACGTGTGTACGTATTTGTTGCATATACATCTTTATGTACATCCTTATGAAACATGTACACATATATATCGCCGCGATAAAAGGACGAAAATGCACAGGCTGAACAACAGGATCAATGAAGCTTCAGGAGGCGGCGGTTACGGCTGTTAACGCCGGGCCTGAAATTGCGGAGGAAGCAACGAGAGTGGCGCTGCTTCCCCAGGGAGCAATAAACAAAATGTCAGCCACAAGCGGAACCGACGCTGCAAATTGATTATCCACCTTCCTTCCCTCCCGTCGTGTCGCTACCTTGGCATCTCCTCTGGGCCCCTTTCGCCGAGAGCTGCTCTCTTTTTGGCTTTATCATTTTATATTTTTACCTTGATTTCTCCCCTTCTCCCTTTCTTGTTGACTTTTAAATTTTCACTAGTTTTCGACCCTTAAGGTGATATCAAAGGGTCATTCTATATACATATCAAAACGTGAAGATATTTATAAAACTTTTCTCCAAATTGGGTGTACCGAATCATTTGAAAGCCCTAAGGAAGAATATTGTGCTCGTGCCCTTTTTGGATTTATCATTTTATGTTTTTACCTTGATTTCTCCCCTTCTCCCTTTCTTGTTGACTTTTAAATTTTCACTAGTTTTCAGCCCTTAAGGTGATATGAAAGGGTCATTCTTTATACACATCAAAACGTGAAGATATTTATAAAACTTTTCTCCAAATTGGGTGCACCGAATCATTTGAAAGCCCTAAGGAAGAACATTGTGCTCGTGCCCTTTTTGGATTTATCATTTTATATTTTTACCTTGATTTCTCCCCTTCTCCCTTTCTCACCGACTTTTACATTTTCACTAGTTTTCGACCCTTAAGGTGATATGAAGGGGTCATTCTATATACATATCAAAACGTGAAGATATTTATAAAACTTTTCTCCAAATTGGGTGCACCGAATCATTTGCGTGCTCAAGTTTCAAATTATTAAGTGCATCCAGTTTGGAGAAAAGTTTTATAAATATATTGACGTTTCATGCGTATAGAATGACCCTTTCATATCACCTTAATGCAGGAATGCAGATCGATAATTCAGCGCACTATTGAACGTGATTCAATTTCCTAACCCAGGAAGCCAACATACGAGGATACTATATTTTTGTTTCTAACAGATGACCTATGGTGACAGACAGATGATTGGTGTTCTAGAAATAATAAATTTGATTCCTAATCTCAACGTTAACGATACATGCAAATATTAAATATGGACATTACCCTAATTTTAGAACCCCTTCGAATGCAGTACCGTAACAGATCTGTTAACGATACCGCAATCTGGAAAATACATTTAATTGCTGATGTCGATGTTGTCGACTCATACGTATGATAAAAGTGGAACTTGCTCTAATTTCAGAGCCCTTTCGAATATAGTACCTTAGCGGATCTGTTAACGATACCGCAATCTGAGAAATACGTTTCATTGCTGATGTCGATGTTATCGATTCATACGTATGATAAAAGTGGAACTTACTCTAATTTCAGAGTGAAAAATACGTTTCATTGCTGATGTCGATGTTATCAATTCATACATATGATAAAAGTGGAACTTACTCTAATTTCAGAGCCCTTTCGGATGTAGTACCCTAGCGGATCTGCTGACGGTGCCGTATTCGGAACCGACAGATGCCGGAAGTCTGCCGGACGAGCTGGACCCCTTTCCGGAAATTCAACTGGGCAACCCCCAAGGAGCGATTTCGGCTGGGATCGAGTCGGTCCATTCCCAGCAACCTCCTCATCAGCAACACCCGCCGCTTCCGGGAGACGTGCAAACCGATTCCCTTAGGTAGGTACTTCTGGTCCACTGTATCAAAATCAGAGGTACACTGTTGAAAAGAACATTGTCATTTTATAACACTCTTCTTAAAGTTTCATTCATAAATGTTATATTAAGTTTATAACATTTTATTGATACACCTTATAAACATATGCGTGTGTCATAAATCTATAGCACATTTTATAAATTTAACATAAAATTGGGTATTGATTTTCACACACAGTTTCATAAAAGTATATGATCATGATGTTAGAAAATTATAAATTTCTAAATAGATTTACCATAAACATATACTAAACAACATCTGAAACATCAAACACATGATTTTATTACAACCTTACGTACTAAAAGGTTCATGAATTTTATGAATATTTTTACCAGGGTATCGATCGAGTTCCATTTAACGCCTAAAGTCAGTAAATTCCAGCGTCTGAATTTTGCAAATTCACAAGTTCCCAAATGGGAGGTCAATTTCGGGATCTTTCAATGAGATAGAAATGTTAAGAGATTTCGAAAAGAGCTTCCCAGGATACATGCTCCTCCACGTCCTTGGTAATCTCAGTCGATACCCAAGCAATGGCCAATGCCAAGCGCCGTTGCTCCGCGAGCCAGAGAGAGAACAATATATGCATCCATTGCAGTCCAACGCCGCTCCCCAGCTTCCAGGAGACGTACACGGTCCAGCGATACTCGCGGCAGGACATCGTTGGACTAGGGCTCAAGATGGACGAGGACAGCTACGATTCGGTCTACACGTGCGGAGCCCTCTACCCAACGGAGTTCTCCCCGGCTCTGCCGTACCAGCACCACCACCAGGCGCAGCACCCCCAGCAACACCACCAGCAACAGAATCCGCGACTCCAAGAGCAGGATCAGCAGCACCAGGATCAGCAGGACCAGCAACGTCGCCAGCAGCCTCCGCAGCGGCCGACCCACCACCAGCTGCACCATGCGCACCACCACCACCACAACCATCACCACCACCAGCAACAGCAACACCACAGGCAGGATTACTTCTCGCCTGAGAGCGGACCGGTAACGACGGTGGCCCTCATCACCCCCCAACCTGCTGGGGCCGTTCCGACGCCGCCACCGCCGCCTCCACCGCCACCTCCACCACCTCCACCGCCACCGCCACCACCACCCCCAGCTCCAGCAATGGCCTCAGTTCCTGCGAGTCAGCAAGGCTCGCCATACTCCACCCTGTCCATGGTCTACGGACCCCCCAGCATCGCTGGCATCAACCCCGTTCCTTCGAACACGGTCCTCAGTCCACCCCAGGCGGATCATCATCAGCCCGTTCCTGGCATCGCACCCAGCAACGCCGCCAGCAACGCCCGGTCGAGGCGCGCCTCTCTGCCGCTTCAGCGATCCGAGTCCACGAGGTTTGTTTCTGTTGCTGCTGTTATGGTGGTGGGTTTTGTATCAAGTCAGAGGAGGATGGTTAATGTCGCGTTGCTGGATGGAAATGGGGCTGATGGGTTCCTGACTTCATCCAGAAATTGTAAAGTTGATGTAAAGGGCTCCCAGGGAGGAATGCTTACTTGGAGCATGATAAGTGTTAGGTCGTTTCAAGAATGTTGTCCTCTTCTGGCAATCTTTCTTGCCGTTTTCCTGACGATTTGCGTTACTCTAATTGCTGACTTACTGGTTATCGAATGCCGACTGACGTTACATTACCGACTAACTTTTGGTGCTGTATTTGCGGTGTTACTTCGAAATAACGCGCTAACAAAAAAGATTACGCAAATTGTCTCGATAATGACATAAACACGGTTACGTAATAATAATACAACCGTTACATAACGTTTGTAACATTTTACGTAACATACCTACATGTACTATATAAGTAAGATTTGTACTACCATTTCTTCCGCAGCTATATAACACTGTTATAAGACGGATAATGTAACGTGAACATCTCGGTAACATGTTACATGTTATGTTAATATTATATAACTGCAATGCCAACAAGTTTGTAACAATGTTACCGAACGGTAATAATTTCAGTGTTATGTAACTGTAACATAGGGTGCTTCGTGGCTGGATGTGTGGTTTAATTTCCTTATTTCTCTCGGGGAACAGCAGCAACGAGTCGCCGAAGCCGAGGGGCGGTGATTCCTCCAGGTCATCCTTATATATCATGTTATTCCAGTGTTATGTAGCTGTAACATAGGGTGCTTGGTGGGTGGACGCGTGGTTTGATTTTTTTTTTCCTTTCTGAGAACAGCAGCAACAAGTCGCCGAAGCCGAGGGTGATTCCTCCAGGTCGTCGTTACACATCATGTTATTCCAGTGTTATGTATCTATGACATAGGTGTATGGTGTAATTTTCTTATTTCCCTCGGGGAACAGCAGCAACGAGTCGCCGAACCCGAGGGGCGGTGATTCCTCCAGGTCGTCCTTATATATCATGCTATTCCAGTGATATGTAGCTGTAACATAGAATGCTTGGTGGGTGGACGCGTGGTTTGATCTTCTTTTTCCTTTCTGAGAACAGCAGCAACGAGTCGCCGAAGCCGCGAGGTGGTGGTTCCTCCAGCTCCGTGGGCTCGCCCTGTTCCAGCAACGGAGAGCGAGCACCTCCCAGTCCGAGCCAACTGTGTGCCGTTTGCGGCGACACCGCCGCTTGCCAGCATTACGGGGTGAGGACTTGTGAGGGCTGCAAGGGCTTCTTCAAGAGGACCGTGCAGAAGGGCTCGAAGTACGTCTGCCTCGCGGAGAAGGCCTGCCCCGTCGACAAGAGACGTCGGAACCGCTGCCAGTTCTGCCGCTTTCAAAAGTGCCTGATGGTCGGCATGGTCAAGGAGGTAAATCTCGCTAAATGTGGACCATTGCAGATCAAAAAAACCACGTGTCTCTTAGATTTTTATGTTCTTTAACATGTGAATATCAATAAGATCCGCGGCGGACACTTGGGAATGTTTCCTTGTTAGACTTGGGGTCTTTGTCCATGAAACGGGTCGACAGGAAACATTGTTGATGGTTGTTCCCTTGATTATTCGTTTTATCGTTAAGTACGGCGCATTCGGTGCCGATCATCGGGACAGTGCAGGATAAGGAATTCCGCTGGTTTTCAGGTCGTTCGGACGGATTCCTTAAAGGGCCGCCGCGGGAGACTTCCTTCGAAGCCCAAGTCGCCCCAGGAGTCCCCTCCGAGTCCACCCGTCTCCCTGATCACCGCCCTGGTCAGAGCCCACGTGGACACGACGCCCGACCTGGCGAACCTGGACTACTCCCAGTACCGAGAAGCAGGTCCCAACGACCCGCCCGTCACCGAGGCAGAGAAGATACAACAGTTCTACAACCTCCTGACGAGCTCGGTCGACGTGATCCGCAACTTCGCCGACAAGATTCCTGGCTTTTCGGACCTCACGAGAGAGGACCAGGTGGGTATCAAGCTCGGCTGAGTCGCCCACACTTCCCGAATAGAACACCTAAACTCTCGTCAAAATGTGGAAAATAATGCATAATTTAAAATAGAAAGATATTAAGGTGACCTCACGAGAGAGGACCAGGTCGGAATTAAGGTCGACTGTGTCGCCCACATTTCCCGAATAGAACACTTTTACCTCGTATAAGACATCTGAACTCCCTTAAAAATGTGGAAAATAATACAAAATTTAAAATAGGATGATATTAAGGTGACCTCACGAGAGAGGACCAGGTCGGAATTAAGGTCGACTGTGTCGCCCACATTTCCCGAATAGAACACTTTTACCTCGTGCAAGACGCTTAAACTCTCGTCAAAATGTGGAAAATAATGCAAAATTTAAAATAGAAAGATATTCTGGTGAAGAACTCATTAAGAAACTTAAGGTGATATGAAAGTGTGACATATACATAACAAAAAGTAAAAATATTTATAAAACTTTTCTCCAAACTGGGTGCACCGAATTATCGGAAACTTTGACACGTGATTACGCAGGCTGCAAGGAAGAACGCGCTGTCCGTGAAATATCATCTTTCGAAAAAAAAGATCCTTTCTTAGTTCTTATCCGAGATGAATGCAAAATTTTTTAATTCTTTAACGATCTCGGGTGTATTTCATAAATGATCGATAATTTCGAAAATTATCCAGATCAAATAGGAAATTAGCAGCCAGCCCAAACGCACTAGTGAATCGCCGTTCGTTGGTCATAGTCTTGTTTGATCGTTGCTCGATGACAATGACGATTTCGCTCTTTTCTACGATTTCGGATTCGCGTTGGTCTTCGCCTGGACTTGCGAGATCCCTAGGCAATGCTATTCATTATCGATCTCATTTTATAAATGATCGATAATTTCGAAAATTATCCAGATCAAATAGGAAATTAGCTGCCAGCCCAAACGCACTCATGAATCGCCGTTCGTTGGTCATGGTCTTGTTCGATCGTTGTTCGATGACGATGACGTTTTCGCTCTTTTCTACGATTTCGGATTCGCGTTGGTCTTCGTCCGGACTGGCGGGATCCCTAGGCAATGCTATTCGTTATCGATCTAGTGTGCATTTTATAAAAGGTCAGTTCTGACACTCGGCCCGGGTCTGCCGAGGCTATTGAAACACCTCGCGGAAGAGTCGCTCCGAGTCACGCACACGATAACTTATAGTTCCGGCACGCTCTTCCGTTCCTACCTTGCCTTTACCGTCATCGACCACCCCGAGGACTTCCACTTAGCCGGGTTCTTGTCTCGAAGATACTCCACTAGGTAGCCGATCCGATACCAATTGTTTCCACTATCAACTAGAAGTGCATCGGTCGCTTTCCCTTTCTTCGAGGTACGGATCTGAAAGATAGCGAAAGGAGACCCAGAGAGACAAAAGTGATGCAAAAGAGCAATGCAAAATTAGCGTCAAATTTGCCTCCTATCAAATGAGTCATGAGGGTGTCGCTTATGAGTCCTCATTTGCACCTCATATCTGCAGGACACAATGACGAACCAAAAGTACTTAAATATGAAACAAAGTTAAGTACATGCAATGCCTCAATGTTCGTACGCATATGTACAGCTAAATTTATCTCACGCATTGCCGATAAACAATTGCAGCCTCCGTAGCTGATATTTGAGCCATGGCGTGATGGAAACGAAAACATGGAGCAACGTCATATTAACTCAGATTTGTAGCTTTAACTAACTTCATACAATGTCCGCAAATTAATGCCACGGAACGACGTTATAGCTCCCGTTAAATTTTCCATTAATTTTCAGCTCATAACTGCTGGTTATGGCATAACTGGCATATGACTCGAGTACGCGGTAAATATACTGCTACGACCATTTATGACAAATTCACCGGGAATTTTTCTTCTAATTTATTTGTGTAGTATGCGTGTGCATACCTTGCAGAGATTTCATGCTGCAAATGGCGTCTGCAAATTCTAAATCTATTTCCTCGTTCTATAATGATCATCATTTCTATCTGGAGATGATCTTAGGTTGTTCAATATGAAGTCGGGAATTTTACCGTCAAAGAGGACGGGAAAGTCCGTAATGTTCTCCATTAAAGAAGACGGTAAAGTCCGTAATAACATGTGGAATAGTCTAATATAGTATGATGTTTAGGGATTTGAAGTTAATCGGAGCTTTTTTTATTTCTAGGAGCTGCTCTTCCAGTCAGCCAGCCTTGAGTTGTTCGTCCTGAGGCTAGCCTACCGCACCAGGGCCAACGACACGAGGCTCACCTTCTGCAACGGCGTCGTCCTAGCCAGATCCCAGTGTCAACGGAGCTTTGGCGATTGGCTCCACGGAATCTTCGACTTCTGTCAGGCTCTTCATGTCCTCGACGTTGACATAAGCGCCTTCGCCTGCCTCTGCGCGCTCACCCTGGTCACTGGTTGGTTCACCTTCCACCTTCTCCCATCTTGATCCGTTACAAACCGAGAAAGATAATACAAAATGGAATAAGTAGTTTAATCCAACAGTTTAAGCTTTTATGAAAGGCTCATTCGATACACATAAAACGTCAAAGCATTTATAAAACTGCTTAATCCATTTTGTATTGTCTTTCATTCTGATTATGAAGGCCCTAAGGAAGAACGCGATGCTCGTGAAATTTCATTTTTCAAAGAAATATTTTTTATATTTATTCCAGACTGAAACCAATATCACATCTTTTTGTGAAAAAGGGAAATTTCCCGAACATTGCGCTCTTCCTTAGAGCCTTCATAATTACAGTGAAAGATAATACAAAATGGAATAAGCTGTTTAATCCAGCAGTTTAAGCTATTATGAAAAGCTCATTCTATACATATAAAACGTCAAAGCATTTATAAAATTGGTTGTTCCATTTTGTATTATCTTTTATTGCGATTATGAAGGCCCTAAGGAAGAACGCGATACTCGTGAAATTTAATTTTTCAAAGAAAAATTTTCTATATTTATCCCAGACTGGAACCAACATGATATCTTTTTGTAAAAAAGGGTAATTTCACGAACATCGCGTTCTTCCTTAGAGCCTTCATAATCACATGTTGAAGTTTCAAATCATTTGGCGCACCCCGCTTGGAGAAAAGTATTATAAATATCTTGACGTTATATATATAGAATGACCTTCAGAATAGATATATAGAATCACCTTAAGGCCATATGAAAGCCTCATGAGCCTCATTCTACATATATAAAACGTCAAAACATTAATAAAACTTTTCTCCAAACTGGATGCACCGAATCTTTTGAAATTTCAGCACGTGATCATGGAGAGGCCCTAAGGAAGAACGCGATGTTCGTGAAATTTCATTTTTCACAAAAAAGAAACCGTGATTTTGGTTCTAGTATGGGCTAAGTTAAAAGATCTTTTTTAAAAATCCAAATTTTGAAAGTGTCGGGACAATTCCTAGGTGCTCACGAGTCACGTGTCAAAGTTTCGGACGGTTCTATCCAATATCCTTAAGAAAAAAGTGTCTCGTTCGAATCGACTGATTTGAGGTGGTGTGTCACTTCACCTTAAAATCCCTGTTATTTCATGAATTAATCCTCCAATTAACCAACAGAGAGGCACGGTCTTCGGGAACCCCATCGAGTGGAGCAGCTACAGATGAAGATCATCGCCTCGCTGAGGGACCACGTGACGTACAACGCCGAGGCCCAGAGGAAAGCCCACTACCTGTCGCACCTGCTGGGGAAGCTCCCAGAGCTGAGGAGTCTCTCCGTCCAGGGTCTCCAGAGGATCTTCTACCTGAAGCTGGAGGATCTGGTCCCGGCGCCGCCCCTGATCGAGACCATGTTCGTCGCGAGCCTACCCTTCTGAGCCTCCGTTCACCCGGGGACCCTCGTCGACGAGTAACATCGCCGAGTAACATCGCCGGTTCCTTCGGCGACCTAGCTCGGAGTGCAGCTTACCTTTGCGCCGCGTCTCTTGTCCAGAAAACCTATTTTGGTCCAGATTCGAGGACCTCTCCCCCGACCTATCCCCTAGATCGGTCGGAGGAGAACCATCCAGGGTGATCGGGCATTACCTTCGAGGATGCATGGAGGGCGAAAGCTTGAACGGAGAAAAAACAAACAAACATGTGTGGATGTTTTAGGACCATTTTTAAGGGTAAACGCGATATCTAGGGAATGTAAGGAATCGAACGCTCCGTCCCCCGGAGGTACCATTGATCGCGCCGGAAGGTGACGATGCCGATGACTTTCCCGGTTTTCGAAGGATCGGCGCCATTGATGGTGCTTCCATGAGGCCCTCCTACGGGGATTGGTGAACGAAGGTACCGAATTCACAGAGAAATGGTTATTTTCGACGAGTTTTCAAGGTTTTTGTCACACCTTCGGCGGTACCTCCTCGTAGGAGCGGAGTCGTTCCTTTAGGAATTGCGTGGAAAGGTTGCGGAGAAACGGTATCGAGGGCACTGAAATTCTGGAAGGAGGGGCGATATCCTGGTCGCCTTTGGGTTCGATCGATGATCAGGGTGCGTGGAGCAACGAGTTCCCTGGAAGACGGATAGATCGGCTGTGTTCTCCAGGAATCCGGAACAGCGATTAAACGACAGCATCGCGAGATATCACCCACGGTTAAAAGGTTTAATCGCACCTATCTCTGATACCTTAGAGCAAGAGCCAGCAACGATCAGCAATATTTAGATGATTAGTCTTCCCGTGAAAAACAGCTCCTACGCAGAATTAAGGGCGGCACTCGTGCGAAGGACCTCCGCGCGCTTGCAATTAGCTGACTACTGAAAATGCTGTACATAAGGATAAATAGATTAGGGTAATAACTTAGAAGGATGGATCTCAATGCCTGGTGATCATCGGGAATTTCAACGTGAATTTGGTGTCCTCAATATTTCATTCTCTCGTAAAGGGCGCTTTTATTAGGGGAGTTAGCTCGCGGAACGCCCGAGAGGCCGTGAATGCGCGGGTTGTAGCTTTTGTCATATCGTTTGCTGTGAGATGTATGGACCACTGTATCAACTATTCGTGACATATCAGTGCCGAGACGACGAGGCGAAGGCGGTGGTTGTAATCCCTGTCAGGAAGCCGCACTACGTGTCGTTTTAATCCCGCCAACTATGCTCCAAATAAGGCCGCCTCTGCACTATTACTTCTAGTGGATAGGGATGCACCTCGTGTCTACCTTTGTGAACTCTCGTTATCGCCTACCAGTGTCTGTACCTACTATCGCTGTTACTAGAACCGATCCCACTATATCGCCGACACCGACCACGTTCGCGCCCATTGACTTAATCACGACCCGCGACCCAGGTATTGTCGAAGTGTACAATTTTTGTCCAAAAGCTTTTGTTACTCGAACACATCAGTCACGTGACAGCGAAACGCACGTGGTAGTCCCTAAAGGGAAAGGTCCCTATAGGGAAAGTCCCTATAGGTAAAATTATGACCCACGACCCCAGGCCGGATTCTAACATCCTGAATCTGATTCCATCTTTCGAACTTAAAAGCTTTTTCCTGATGAGTACAATGGCGGACATGAATGCCTCCCCTACAGATACGACATCGTCTGTGCAGGATGGGAGGGCATTGATGTCTCCCAGTGTACGACTTTATTCGACGTATTCAGAGGTAAAAAAAAAATGACTTGAATATACTACGGGACTTGAAATGTCGATTTTTATCTGCTTAGACTTTGAATCTTTCTTTCGTGCAATCTTTGGTATTTAAATTCGGTATCGTAAAACCGGCAAATGTGTCGTGATTTGCCATGTGCGATTAAGTCGTTTACAAAATGTCCCGGAATTCTAATTGTTATTTTATTTTACAAATTATATTAATGTTACGTATTGGCCGTGGAAGATGATTTCGGTGCAAACGTGGTCATCGGTGCCCCAGCTAAAGAAATCGCCCCCAACTATCGCTACTATCGCTACTATTGCTGCTACTGCAGCTCCTTCCTCGGTTACCGACCTGTATGGTAGATAGATACCCTATTTATAAAAACGCCGTCACACCCTACTATTGTTACCGTTAGTACTAATTTTAGTGGCCACTCTGGGTGACGAACTTGTGTATTTAAACCGCGGCGTGGAGCAACACCGACAAGAGCAACAGTTGCTGCGCCGCAGTTTGCCAAGCAGCAATTCGCGAGATCTCGATAGACTTTTTCAACACTTTCATTTCCCTCCCGAGGGATCTTCCTGAGAAGAGATCGAAAAGTCGAACAGAAATAACCGGGTGATAACCTAATTCAGACGCAAGATGGCGACCTCGGATTTCCAAAAATCTCGAGTTTCGCCAAGTCAAAGTCGAAAAATCGAAATTTCGATGTGGCACCTTATTCTGTATTAAATTCTAGCACACTTGTAGCACATCCTAGTTCCGCCTCTTCTTCTCTTTCCTTTCCTCGAAAAACTTTGCGGATACCCTACATAACAAGCCACATGTATTAAATTAATTATACCTGTACTAAAAACACTATCTAACGCCTCACAGTGCCCTAACATAAGTGGTAGTTCCCTTTTTTGGTCTCTTCTCGTCAAGATCCATCTGACTAAAGGGTTAGAAATAAACCCTACACCACGATTACCGACATTACAGTTTTTTCAATAATTCTTTTCAAACGATTGCACAAAACCGATCAAAGGGTTTGTAGGGTGGCAAAGGTCCTCGTAAAGGAAAGATCTGCTCTTAGATAGTTTGGTAAGCCAGTTTCGTCGAATAGTGAGAAACTGCAATGTCGGTATCGTCTTCAAGACCCTTCTTTAGCGGCGATCGAAACGAGATGTATGTAGGTAGATACGCGTTATCGCGAGACGGCGTTGGAGTAACGAGACGAGCTGGAGGGCTGGATTTGACAGGGGAGTTTCAAGTGCCTTCTGGCCTGCGAGAAAAAAAAAATAAGAAAAAAAAAAAGAAGATACTATTTCCTATTTTTTCAGGAGGACGATGCGGTAGAGATAGAGACAAAGTGCCTGCCGCGTAATTGTCGCGCGGACAGAGCACCAGTGCGGGGGAATCGCCGCGGAATTACGTTGATTAACGTTTAGGTCGTAGGGTATAAGACGAGTGGCTGTTTACTATGGTTACCATATCCCTGTTAGGATACTCATTACCACTTATCACCGTGTTCACCCTGATTCGAGGAAGAGGGGAGGAGAGAGACGCGCGCGATAACGTACAAGTAGACGTGCCGGGTGGAAGATCGAGGAAGTCAAAGAAACAAAGATTCGATGATCGTCCATCATCCTTGGCGTTGATAGCTATGAATATTGCGGGGAAAACGATAACCTTGTAATGTACCTACATCCTCGCTCAAAATGTATTTGGCTCGAAACTCTGCCAAGTTTCTTTACGTACACTCGAGTACCCCCTGGGAAGTGCCCGGGAAAATTTGACGAAATCTCCTTCCCCAGTGATTTTAGAGAAATACCTCTCATACAAAAGTTGCACAGAATAACACGCGGAATAACTTTTGTTGGAAACATTTTTCTATAACAAGCATTGTTAAGGCGGAAAACGATATTTATTGTTGAGCTACGACTCACGCTCGTAGTTATCGGAATCGGAGCGTCGGGAATTGTTTCTCTGTTTTTCTTTTCGTAATTGAATGATTCTTGGCCCTGGAACTTTTGATTTGACTTCATGTCCCGCTTCTTCCGGCCCTTTTCTAACCCGTTAACCACCGTTCTCTCTCTCTCTTCCTCACCTTCCGTCTGAGATTATGTTACACAAGTGCAGAGAAGGTCAACGTGAAATGCGCGTACTCGCGCGACCTCCCTACAATCATAGTTGTACCCTCGCTACGTGTGTACCTATAGGTATAATAGCGTTAGACGTAAGTGTATAACTAGGTAAAGCTTTAAGCATAGACTTTACGTACACATAGGTCTAACAGTAGGCACCAACTTAATTATGTGTAACGCGTTTTAAAAGCCATTTGCGTCTTCGTATTCAGTGGTCCTTTTTTCCTATTTTTCACTTACGTAAGTCCTCGTTCGTAGTCTTTAGTTACCTTTTCTCACTCTTTCTTTAAATTCCTCGGTGCTCGGGTTAGATTGCTCGGAAGGTAGTGTCGAACTCTTCTAGAGTCGAAGAAAAGGTCCGAGGTAATCTTCCACGAGCACCGGGTAAGTCGTTCTGAGATCATCCATCTCATTGATAAGACAGTGATACGTAGAGAAGTGCACCGAGGAGGAAGAGATATATATATATATGTATACATATATATTTAGCGATCAGGATTTCGAATGGTGAATTTTTACTCCTTTTACTCCTTATAAAATCCCGGCCCGGAAGGCCCGGTGGAAAATTCATTAAAAAAGAATCCCGTCTGAGTAGGTGTGCGACATTTCTTGCCCGCATTAGCGATTCTTCCTTTAATTTTATTCTCTCTCCCTCTCTCTCTCTTTTTGTTTTTTAACCTGTGCTAAATACTCCTTTCCGGGTATACGTGTCTCGATAAATGTTCTACCGTTGTTTATCTTCCGTAAGGATGTCCGCTTATTACGCCAAAAGCGTGTCGTGGAGTATTTATATATATATATATTATCCCCTGAGAGAAGGAAGTGTCGAGAATTGACCTGAATAAAATGTGTCGTTGTAAATTTCCGACTCCTACTATTTTAGACCGATTTACGTGGCCCGGGACTCCCAGGGTAATGCGACGTGTATTATGTGCATTTAATGTATACAGGCTGTATCGTTTATTAAAAAGAGACATTATTTACGAATTTCGGTGAAATACCCTCGCGGCCTGAAGGGGTTAAGTGCCTTTCGATGAAGTGAGTTTGAAAGAGAACAATTAGTTTAAGGAAATAATCGCTCACGAGGTTCTTTCATAAGGCGGTTATGAAAATCGAAAGAGATTATTTGAGATGCCATGGATTTCTGTGGGAAAGTTTTTCTTCAAAATTTACCAGAAACTGAAGCGCATAAATCAGTGGAAAGTTACTATCTATTCACTTTCCGTTATTAGAGTCTGAATTTCTTTTTAATCGAAAAACTATCCCATCGGTCCTTAAATGATCTTCTCTAGTTTCGTAAACCACTTCCCTAGAATTCATTTCCCTAGAATCACATGAACCGTGAAAAAGAATCAGAAATTCTCAGCATTTTTAATCATTTGAACATATTTTTTGTCATAAGTTCTCCGTACAACGTGAATTAAAATCAAGTACATGGAATATATCATAAGCGAATAATTCCGATGAATTTTCATTCGCTTTTAAACTCACTTCGATTGAAATGAACTTCACAAGCTGAAAGTCCCCTTAAGGGGACTCTTCCGAATTTCATTCCGTATGTTTTGGAATAATAAGCTGGCATTCCCTAGGGGAATAAATCTAACCAAATCTAGCGCTTTTTATCACCAACACGTGTATTACAACGCTGCAGAGAAACGCAGTGAAACTCATTGTTTCCCGTTGATAATCCCTTGTGAAAATCTCCACTTATCCGGTTAGGATCAAATTTTGAGTAGATGCAAATTCCCCTCGCCCCGTGAGCGATCGCCGACTAATTAACAAATTGCGATATTTATTTACATATCTTGTACGCATTGATGATAGTTCCTTTGCACATGTGATTTATACAACACCCGCGCATGGATGAACGCTCGTACGATGTACAACGAAAAAATTCGACCCGCTTACTCATTCGAATACCGAGTCGACATTTTTCCGGGAGACTAGACATTAACGGTATTTCATTTTATCGCTAATACGCGTGAATTTATAACTACATTTATATTTGCATTTCCCGAAGCTACGTTTAACCGAGCTTGTCGTAACACCCATGCAGTTGGATTTAAGGACGTGTCGTTTCTACTGGGAGAAACTTGTTCGAGTTTCTTTATCGAATTGATCGTGTTGGATATTAACAATCGACTCGTTTTTTAATTTATACGTATATATATATATAGATATATATATACATGTATACATGTACACTGGGCTTGCCGCGAATCGACGTGGCCATTGTCAAAACTGTGAAATATATGCTTTGTTGATATAAAATACACTAAATGTTGTTACATTGTGTTGGCGTTCCTTTAAAATATTTATTCCGTCGAATTAAATTTTAACTAATCCACCGGCTGATGCATCTCCCATCCTAGATCCGTATCTTGCGACGAAGATGCGCTTTCTCCTTGAATCTAGCGAATTGTCCTACAAACGGACAAATTATTATTCGTAATTTATTAGTCGTAAACCCGGGCGATGTGATATACTAAAAATCCTGGATGGGCTATCCTTTGGAATTTCTACGGAGAGATTACTTGATGTGAATCCTCTGAATTGTCCTCGTAACCTCGATTTTCAAACTTCTGTTTCTGGATCAATGAAGGGAGCGGTTTACCTTGTACTCAAACCAATCATCCCGAGTGTCGGTAAAATGGACCCGCTTAACGGTGCACAGAAGCGCACAGAGATGGCGCTCTTCGTGGCTGGCAACACGTGACCTACAAACGCACGTGACTACGTTTAAATTCTGCCGGGAAATCAAATGTCTAATCTAATCCCTGAAATAAACAAAACACTGCGACGAATGTTGCGGAATACTGAACGATGTATTAGTAACAGTTTAAAAGAGAAATAGAAGAAATAAACTCTGTTTATCGAAATACATCAATAGAGGACTACGTCTTTCAATCGATTGGTTTACTCATTTTATCTTGGCGGTTACCAAGAGACAAACATAAGACGTTTAGAGAGAAAAGTAAGTCCAGTATGTACATACATTGTACATACATGCATCACAAAACGTACGAAACTTATAAATGTCGAGTTCTTTTGTCGTATGATACAGAAGATATTTTTTCTTTTCTATTGAATTTCTTAGTACTAACCTCTTTATTTCTTTAGGTGAAATATGAAATTTTTATTGAGACCTAGCGTCAGATTACTCTAACGTTCGACGTTACTGGAGCACGGCTGCTTGATGTCTTAAGGTGAAGTGAAACACGTCGAGGAACTTGATCGACGTCGATGAAGAAGATTTTTCTAAATGCCTACGTTGCCTGCGTTCGTTTTTATATTGATAGCTGTGTCGAATTATATTGGATATTGTACCAAATGGCATACTCCACCTGTCGTTTTCGTACAATAAATATCAAGAAATCAAAGTAAAACTCCAGAAATCCTCTGAATTCATGCTTTCCGGGGCCCTAATTGACTGCAGAGGGACCCCCTGCGCCATCTGTGATGACCAGGTCAATTAAATTTTCACTTCGAGACCTCGTATTCCCATCGTTTTGGCATAGAACCGCATAAAACACTTTTTTTGCCTTTATCCCGTTCAAATGCGTGTTTATCGATTACCAGAGTGTTCTAAATTGTCGTGAAATTGCCCTGACCCTTTCCTTTCTCATATCAGAATCTTCGATATTGATCGAAATATGAGAGCTCGACGTCATTTTGGATCTGGTCTGAGCTAAGTTAAAAAATTCTTTCCAAAAATCCAAATTTTGAATGTGTCAGAACAATTCTTAGATGATCACGAGTCATGTGACGAAGTTTCGGACAGTTTGGTCTAATACCCTTAAAAAAAAGTGTTGTATTCAAATCGACTGATTTGAAGGGGGTTTCACTTCACCTTAAATTGCGGTGCTCTAACTGTCACGACACAGTAATAGCGCTTGCACGTCACAAGTCGTCAGAAACGTTGCCACTTCTTGCCGTTGTACGGCAGCACGGTCAACTCGGAGTTTGTCGAGTAGTACCGTTCGCCCTTAAAAAATGAAATTTCATGGGTGCAAGGACCTTCCTTAGGGCTTCCGTGTTCACGTGGTAAAATTTCAACCAATTGTGTATACCAATTCGGAGAAAAATTTCATGGATCATTGACCTCTCGGATACCACTTCCATAACAACTTAACAGGTTATTCGTTTTTATTTGAGGATAAACATTATACTAAACATTTATGCCACATTTGTACTCATGTGTTACTTTTAGCGTTACAAGACCTTTCCTAACCATTTAAAGAGTACAGATAACATACATCCTTTAATGCTAAAGGCAAGATATGAGTACGGACTATCATATTGTAAAGTCTTTTGCATGGTGGTGGTATGCTTTTCCACTCTGACCATTTATCGAATCGTTTAATAAAATTCCATACTAGTTTGAATTCTATACGCACAGCATACAAAATCGAATCCTAATGGCATTGTTTTTAATTTCTGCAGAGTCGGTTGAAATACCGGAAAGAAGAAACCAAATTCTCACCCAAAAATTGAGACATAATGACAAGTATGTATTTATTCCTAAATATATCTAGTGATTATATATTATAAATTCATGTATATCTAAATTTAAAATATTTCTTCCAGTGTAACGAATATTCATGGCACCAAAAATATAAGTTTACAAATCAGAGGTTTCTTTTGTAATACGTTATTAAAGATGGAATGCTTCCTAATGGTTTCCATAACACGCTTCAACAAAACTCAAATAATGATATTACAGAAAGAAATACAATTATTATTCTCAAAATGTTGAATGATTTATAAAATAGAAGAAAGAAATAATCGTTACTAAAAGAGAGAGAAGCCAACTAGCACATCTTATCTTTATCATTTCTACAACTGTAGATAGTGTACAGAGGCTGAATATCACATGCAGTAAGTGCCCATTCATAGCTCAAACGTCATAATCAACTTTAACCTTAAATTAGATAACTGGCTCTAAAAAGAAGTTATTATTGTGAAATAACAGAATCTATATGTCTCTAATTCTTCCAATCTGAGGTCAACTTCCTCCAATTTACGGCCAGCAGCTGCGCCCTCCCATCCCGCTCCTAGTCAAGTCTACAACTGAAGATGAACTCTAAGAGGTCACTTTAAGAGAAGTTGTCGTACTCGAAACAAGAATGTGGACTCGGGTAGTAATATTCTTTACATTCAATTTATGCTTTCAACTTGTGCGTTGTGACTCTTCTAGGATTATTGTGGTAGGCGCTGGAAGTGCAGGTATAGCCGCAGCTTCAAAGCTCTTTGAGAATGGCTTCAAAAATGTCACTATTTTGGAAGCAGAAAATCGCATTGGAGGTCGAGTGTGCCGTAAACAGCTCGGTAAGCCATCAATGAAAATTTTTATCATTTAACAATAAAGTGTGTATTTTATACATAGGTTTTGTACTCCAAATTCCACCTTTTGCAAAGATTAAATTTGATTTGCAAGAAGGTGAATTCGATTTACAAATGGTTCAATTTGGAGTGCAAAACGTGTATTCGAAATATTCAGTACTATTTTTTCCAATGTCAAGAAATTATTTCATGTATGTCTACAGGAGAGTACTTTGTAGACCTTGGAGGTCAATGGGTCCATGGGAAAGTAGGCAACGTTGCATATGAAATGGCATCGCCACTTGGCTTGATAGAGGAAAATCCAAATCCACTACTTAATCTATCGATCTTCGATTCTTCAGGGTCTCAGCTTGATCACGAAATCACTAAAAATATTTCGGATTTCTTCATAAACTTAATGGATGACGACGTTAAGTTCGCACCGAAGCATACGAACGCTTCGATTGGTGACATTGCAATTAAAGAGTACGTAAAGAGTAAGAGTACTGAGTTTTAAAAATATTCAGATTCAAAATAAAAAGAAGTCATCTCTTTTCTTGCATATTTTTTCTTTCTAAGCTTTTCCTCCTTCCATTTCGTGTTATATTCAATATTTTTTGAAGTTGAACACGATCAGATAATCTACGTTTAGGAAATTAATATTTGTATTAATATTATTGCAGATTTCAGGATTACTTCAAAGAGCATCCTGAGATTAATTCGGACTTAAGTCAAGGTCTTCTATACATGTTCGAGTTGATGGAACTGACGTTGGATTCTGCCGATAATTGGACGGACATTTCTCTCCAAACCTATGGAGAATATTGGCCGTGCACTGGCAGTCAACTGTACGGTTGGAAAGAAAAAACTTATGCCACAATCTTAGACATTCTGATGGTAACAAGTCATTCATACGGATCTATACACCCCAATTGTTGCACATGACTGTCTTATAAAAACAGTTTATCCTTTATTATAACTTCAGAAAAAGTACCCAGACCCGGGAAAGGAACTTCCCGTGCTGAACAATACTATTCTCAATGCTGAGGTGACCAAAATTGATTATAGTAATGATATAGTATCGATAACTACTAATCGGGGTGATGTATACTCAGCGGATTATGTTATCGTGACACCGTCTTTGGGTGTTCTGAAAGAACAACACCAAACTTTGTTCGAGCCTCCTTTACCTGACTGGAAAGTCAATGCTATCGAGGTAAGGCTTAGTTAAACAATATTATTATGAAAGTATGCAACAATTGTAGCTAATTTTTAAATGAAACTTCTTAATGCAGCGATAGTACGAGTAAGTTCGCATGTTATGAAAGGAGCCATTTTGAATAATGAAGTGCCTTTTTACAGTTAATTACTTTTACTAATTAGAGATAAATACAATTTGTATTTATCTCTCTGTGTTAGTATGGAGACAATTTGCGTAAACGCTTTCGTTAGTATCAGTGCGTTATTTTCATAGATAATTATTGACATTTAAAGTGAAATAAAAACAATTATGCGTAAGGGCGCAAGGACATTTTGTAAAAGAACAATTAGTAATATCTAATAACTCTTTTTATCTTAGAAGTTTCACTTCCAACGCGCGTGGTGGCTTTGCACCGATTATTTATCTGTATATTTGTATCATTCTCTTATAATTGTGTATGTAGGTATACATGTATGTAAATATTAATGCAAATCAATGTTGTAGGGTATAAATTTTGGAAACGTGGCAAAAATTTTTCTGTTGTTCGAAGAACAATGGTGGCCAGAAATGTTTTACGCAACTTTCGCATGGAAGGAGACGGATAGATTGGAACTCGAGAAAGATGTAAGTCTCCTATGGACAACTTTGGTTTTAATTGATAAGGTTACAATTGCTGAGAAAATCTAATTTAAAAATAAGCCACATTACTAGTTACGACGTTCTTTAAATTTAATTTTGGCATACTTAGAATCTTGTTTAATTAAAATTATTTTGGACAGTGTAAATTAACGTTTTAAATCATGAAACATTTTTATTAATATTCACAGCCGAAAAAGAAATGGCTGCGAGGATTTTTTTCTGCTTTCTCGGATAACTACAGACCTAAATTGTTATGTGGCTGGATGAGTAGTACTGCAGCACGAGAAATGGAGCAAGTTTCCGAAGAAGACGTCCTGGAAGGTGTAACGGAAGTCCTTCACAGGTTTATAGGAAAAGATTATAATATTACAAGGCCTGTAAAGTTATTAAGGTATTACAAAATAAGAAGTATCATAACTCTAAAGAAATATTAAAAATTGTAGCCGATCATTACAAGATTATGCTGTCAAATTATCACTTTTAGGAGTCAATGGTACAGCAACAAACATTTTCGAGGAACCTATAGCTATCACGGCATCGAGACGGAAAGTAGAAACGTTAAACCTGCCCAGTTGGCGGAGCCTTTGACGAAAAACGATAAACCAGTAAGAATTCGTTCCTTTTTGTCATTATGTTATAAGATCTACTATGACACAGAACATCTATTCATATTTTCAAGGTCGTTTTATTCGCCGGAGAAGCATCAAACGACCACCATTTCTCAACAGTCCACGGCGCAATTGAGACTGGATGGAGAGAAGCTGATAGAATTATAAAACTGGAGTCAAATTAATGTTTTTAGAAAATATTAGATAATTTCAGTTGATTACATGGATGATTATTGAAGTAGTATATACCACTGGATATTGCATACATTGTTACAAGGAAATAAAATATAAGCTGTAAAAAACCAACCAAAATATGTCTCTCTACTCCGAGAGTAAGTAGAAAGTATGGCAATTCGTGATTGCATTCTATCTACATGTTATTCGCAAAAATTGTTACAGATATTTATGGGGCGGATAAGAATATTTAAATATATTGTTACGTCCACGATACCAAAGAATTCAGAAGTCTTCAATTGAAGCCCAAGAGGATACGGCCGTTCGATGCTCGATAAATAGTATGTTAGCCAACGGATGGCGGCGCTGTAATCATATCTCCATCCCTCTTAATCTTATCGCGATATATAGCGAATTGGATTCTTTCTTTCTTACTCACAATACTCGCCTTTCTATATACGTCTCTCTTCCTCCCGTATGTGAGATATCGTTAGCAGACACCAGAGATGAGTTGGGAGATTGCTCACGGGCAGGGTCGCGCGATCGCATCGTGTGCTGCCCTCTGGTTTCGTACGTTAGCTTTCACCGTTTTTTGCCCCCAAGGGCGGCGCAACGAATTTCTGGTAGGGGCCAACTCATCTCTGCTAAATCAGAGATGAGTTGAGAGATTCACGGGAAGGATCGAGCGACCGCGTCCTGTGCGACCTCCGGTGGAGGATGCAGACGGCTAATGCACTTGCCATCTATTTACAACTCTGAGCAGCCGGAGAACCGGCTGAAAAAGTGAAGAACTCCTCACAAAAACTACAAAACCCTGTATCTCCTGCAAAAAATATCGCAACCACTAGCTCGAGTGATCAATTTAAACCGAACAACCTTCCCCATCAAGCTACCGTGGACGCAATTCGCATCGCGAAAAAAATTCACAAACATCCTTTAACATATTTTAACATCTTTTACCAATAAGTGCAGCAAGCTCGATTTCGATTGCCTGACCATGATGACTTTACCAAAAATGGCTGCTTCCAGGTGATCCACCTAAACCTGCAAAGGGGCACAAGAGTACAGGTAAAACGGAACATTGAAGAAACACCAGGAAGTCGCCAGATTCTCTGAAGTGGCCCACCTAAAGCTGAAAGGGAACACAGAGACACAAACGAAACCATTGGAAATCGAGAAAGAGACGGTGATAAAAGAGCTAATAACTTACTAAAGTTAACATTAAAGTCAAGAATATTTCGCAGTACATCGATCTCGTATAATTGACCCAGTAAAAATGTATTAAATTATACATTACTTGGCGTGACAAAAATCTAATAAATATATCTTGCTTAAATGCAGACTCGAGAAAATCTCATGAAAACGATAGTTCACCGTCTCTCCCCGTCAATCCAGACGGAAGGATATACAAAAAATGAGAGGGACAGCGTGGCGAAAAAAATGAATGACTGTCCATTCGAAAGAATGGAAGGCCATCGTAGTTGCCCTCTTCTTAAGGGGCCGCTTCGGCATATAGCCTCTTCGACTCTTGCAGTCTCTTCGGGCAGAGCCCCCTACGTCTCGAACGCTTGGCAATCCCCTGATTTATCGGATTAATAAAAAAAAAAAGAGATCACTCGCGGGGAGATCTAAAAGCTAGCAAAACGGCGACCTGCGATCCGAGGATGCGCAGTCCGTGCGTATTGCACATTTATTCGATTCCCAAGCGCGGTCTAATTAATTTTATTGCTGAAAGAAAATTGATACAATCGCGGATATATCACAGGGTGGACATCCTCCGCGCTTCCGGAAGCGCGGACGATGGAAAATTACCCCAGGTTCGGGATCTCCTCCCAAACCCCCAGGAAGAGATCCCGCCCTGGCCCTGCCTGCTTACATCTAGACATTCACTCGAGACAACTGACCTACCTCCCTAGCTATATCTAAAAGAAAAAACACATTCGTTCCCACACACTCACTCCACGGTTCTCTCTCATTCCGCCCGGGGCAAAAAGCCTAATCCTAGGGACAGCATCCCGGGATGCCTCCGACCCCCGAGCTCAGTTCTCACACTCATACATTCCGATTGCCATCGCCAGTTGAATGAAAGAAAAATTACACTTTTCCACGGAATCGAAACGCGGATGGCAAACGGAGGGATTCGCGATGTTACGGTTTACCACGTCTCCTGGCCCCGACCCGATCGACTCGCTCCTGGAGGAGTCGAAGAGTGGAGGCCAGCAAAGAACGCGGCCACAAGAAAGGGCACCTACCGTTGTAGAGGCTGAAAGAATCCTACGCTGATCAATTTATACATTGTTGAAACGAGCTACTGACTCTACTCGATATCCATATTTTATAATTTTTCCAAAAAAAAGGCCAAGCCCGGCACGCACTACGGCCCCAGGGTAGTGGAAGGCTTGGCCGAAAATAGCTGAAAATCCTGAAACGTTCCCCTCGTCGAGGCGGCGGCTCTAAATCGATCCACAGGCACATCGAAGTGCCACCTCGACTCGAGGTCGGCTCCTCGCGAGATCCTCCTCCCAAGTCTTTTTGAAATCATTCGAATGATATATCGCGAAACCGATGGCCCCGAAGTCGGAGGGTCGTCCGACTTCCCGGCGCACGATAAAGAAACGCGAAACGTAATCTACCGCTGACCCAGGAGAAAGCTATTCCTAGTCTAAGTCAATACACAAGAAATAAACAAAGTTTACGCGGCCACTCGCGAGCCGGCGAGAGTTCACTCCCCGTCCACTCGCGGTCCCTCAAACAAATCGTAACATACAACCGATCCCCGTGCCGGTACGGATCTGTCGTCCTGCGACATGAGGGGATCGGAGGAAGAAAATGTTGAGACTTACCAACGGGACGATACGTCTTTTTCTGGCGGTACTCCCCCAGGAGATCCCTCCGCAGAGACCTGGGGTTTCTGGCCTCCTCTCCATCTGCCTCCCTTCGACGTTGGCTCTGGCTGCATTCCGCCTTCGTGTCCGCTTCCACTGCTTTCGCTGCTTTCGCTGCTTTCGCTGCTTTCGCTGCAGTCGCTGCATTCGCTGCATTCGCTGCATTCGCTGCATTCGCTGCATTCGCTGCATTCGCTGCATTCACTGCATTCGCTGGATACGCTGGATACGCTGGATACGCTGGATACGCTGGATACGCTGGATACGCTGCATGCTTCTACTGCCTTCGTTGAATTCCTTTTCTTTCGCTGAACGATCTTTTATCCATGGCACTCGCGGACCGTGATCACTGTCGCGTCCTAACCTCATTGTCTTCGCGTCGGTTCGGAAATTGCGCGTACACCCCACCTCGTCATCTACGAAGCGTCCTTGCACCTCGTTACGATCTCTGGATGCCGTCGATTGAGAATTATAGCATCATTTTGATATAAATGTCTCTCGTGGTATGTAATACGTCCCTCGTGCTCCCCGCCATATTCTTAATTTTTGACGACGTCGTTTTGCGGCAAATTTTCAGGGGCAACTGGCGATCCGCCGGCCGGGCCGCAATCCCCGGCCGTGACCGACTCCGTGATTGGACGACGTCGCCGGCCCAATCACGGTCCATCACCGGCCCGATGATGGACCGTGATTGGGCTGGTGACATCGTCCAATCATGGAGTCGGGTCGCGGCTCGGCCGGTGATCGCCAGTTGCCCATAAAAAATTGCCGTGATAAGATGTCAAAAATTAAGAAAATGGCGGGGGGCGCGAGGGACGTATTGCATACTACGTTCAAAATTTATAACATGGTGCAGTAAATCTCAATCGACGGTATATCGCCAGTATAGGAGCCCTGACCCTTTCCGTTCTCACATCAGACTCTTCGATATTGATCGAAATATGAGAACTCGACACCATTTTGGATCTGGTCTGAGCTAAGTTAAAAAATTCTTTCCAAAAATCCAAATTTTGAATGTGTCAGAACAATTCTTAGATGATCACGAGTAATGTGACGAAGTTTCGGATAGTTTGGTCCAATACCCGTAAAAAAAAAGTGTTGTATTCGAATCACCTGATTTCACTTCACCTTAAAGCTGTAAGTTAACAACTCAACCATCATACAAACCAATTCATAACTACTGATTGAAGGCCATATTGACCAGTATTAGATTTTCAGAAAATCAATGAAGAATGAATCAATGGGGTCTCTCCAAGATTAAGATGTATTCGTTACAAGAATGAACAGTGCCTCGTACAATTTACATTGTAAGTCATATCTAAGCATACGAAGTAATAAAATGTCGCGTACATATAAGTCTTCTTCTTCTTCTTCTAGGAATTTTCGACGGAAAACGTTGACCGGACGCCATGTCACCGTCCTAGGGCTATAGCAAAGAACACGAACGTACAACTTTTCTTGTAAACATTTCATTCTGAATAAATTCCAAACCAACTATACAATTAAATGTTAAAGAAACTTTCTGACAAAAGGATTTCATTGCTTTAAATGACACCAAAGAATCTTTCAGACGTCTGAATTCTTTGCCGTTATGGTATCTGCCTAAAAGGCACGTAAATTTATTTTATAAATCGGCAGAGCATGCCTAATCCTGGCTATTAAAATGTTCCATTTCCAACGGCTACTTGCAAAACGTGTAAAAAAAAGAATTTCGTTAAGCTAACGAAAATATATATACAATTTCTCGCAAAAACGCAGAACCTGTGGTGCACACCGCAAAATAACGTGCAGCACGCTCGAATAGTAACAAAAAGTCGCATAATTTACATGTGTATATTGTATATGTCGCTCCTTAATTGTTTACATAAGTAGTTAACGAATTGGACTCGAGATTAGCGCAATTTTTCATACAGTGATCACGTGGTCAGCTATTATTTTAGATTAGCTTTGGTCACGTACATTTAACATTGCAAAATGAACATCGATACAGATAACAATATAAAGAATTTCCCATTTCTTGGACAAAAAGTCTGACTTTTCGCCTCACTTATATGGTTGGTGGAAAAGCTTTTTCCCCTTTTTTTCTTTTTCATATCGAAGAAAGAAAAAACTCTCCCGCCAATCCAATAATATCCAGAGAGTATTTAGAAAACGTACGATATCTTATAGTTTCTTAAGCGGAACTAATGATTATATTAACAAACAATACGAAAGCATCTAGGCACTTGTACAAAACAAGTGGACCATATGTTCCATGGGATTTGTGCTCTATATTTGTTTATTTACTCATGCAGACGTTGAAGAAAAAAATATATGTATATAAAGGAAAGACAAACGTATATGTATGTACAGGTTTCACTTAGTTTAAAACAGTATACAAGAGATACCGGGACGAAACGAAATTTCCGCCTAACTAAAATATATACTTTGTGCTTTTGGACGCAAAGCTTTCGTCATCGCAACATCAGTTCATAACTAATGGCAGAAACAATGGCAAAGTGCAATCATGTGCTTAATTAACAGTATATTTCAGTCATAATAGAATGTGCCATATCGTTGCCTCGTTTTGGACAAATCGAAAAATTTCTCTTCGCTTGACATAACTTCTCTTTTTCTTTCTTTTTATTTATAGTTCTAATCGTTTCATTGCACTTCAGCTTAATCGCTTAATTATAATTACATTTTAGTGAGTTAAAACTACAGGTAGATTAGAAACTTCTTTAAGTTGGATTTCTCAATGTACAAGAATGAAGGCTTCGTACCGAAGTCCTACGGTGGTTTTTTTAACTATGCGAACAGACAAGTACAGCAGGAATTCACGGTTTAATGGCGTCTTTTCAGAGCTCTGAGAAGGTGTCAGTGGCTACAAGGTGAGTATCTAAAAGTCGATTGTCTCCATTATTTGGGTCCTCTCATTAAACCAGATAAAAATACAAATTATTATTTAGGTGGTTTCCATTTAACAGATAGAAAAATAAATTGATCNCAATAAGTTAGATCAATCCACAACAAAATAACGTAATATCCTTTACATCATTAATCGATTTCGTTTCAGCATGTTGCTCCTCTCCGTTACTATAATACTTTGACCCAGAGATTTGCACCATAATAAATTTATTAAAATTAAAGAAAAGAGAGTTCATCTTTAAAAGGATACATAATAATTATTTTCATTTCGTAATTAAGCTGGTGTTTAAACTAAAACCCAATTTTTATGTAACGAGTCACATTCATAAAAGACAGAAAGAACATTATATGCAGAAAAAGTATAATGAGAGTTACACAGGTCCTGAATTGCAGAAACAGTTTGTGATCGATGAACACAATTCAAAAGGTATGATAAAGTAAATACAAAATATTTTTACAGTTTCTTTCCAGTGTGTCTTCCTGTTGTGCTTATCTCTTCCTATCGATTGCACCTTCAACTTATTGAGTTGAGTATAAAATCCTACACCTATAAACAGAGTTTTGTACACTCGATAATTGGGCAACGATTCTTACCTAATGGTGCCCAGCTGAGTGGGTTGTCAGTTTCATTTGATCTCATCGTCAAGATACTCTTTAACCGCAACTTGAATTTTCACTGGTATCAATTAATTATTATCAGGGAGCAGAAAAATATTTCGCTCGTGAAATCAACAGTCAACTGTTGTCGCTTTTTCCAATGGGTTGTCAATGCCTCACTTGGATTTTTAATCTTTAAAGTGTTCATGACATTATTTATTGATTATGCCAGCAAATCAGGTTACCTAACCTGCATTCATTGTTATTCATTGTTTAACATACTTCCTGCAGTTACTAATGTATAATTATCATGCTGCTCAAAAAGTGCAGCACTCCTCTGTGAACTGGATCCTCTGTATTAGGACTTCTACAGTCATGATGTGATGTAAAACATTTCATGATAAAAATGCGTTTTAACATATACTTTGAGACGATACGATTTCCATCAAAACTGCACAGGCAAACTTCATCTTCTACATCAATCTGTATATCAAAATGCATCAAATTTAAGGTCGTGTCATCCCAAGTCCTGTTCTATTCGCTCAGCACTTTGCACATGACTTCATTTCGACCACAAAAAATGCATCCTACTTTAAATACAAATATCATCTCTGCCACCATATTTCCACATAGAGGCTTTCATTATCATCAAGATTAAGATCCATGCCGAAAGGCACCAAATTCAAGGTCATCCTATTCCCACCCATCCTCCTCGCTCAGTATATTGCACATCACTTCATCATACCGGAACACTCAAACCACAATGAAATGCATCTTATTAAAAGCAAGTAACGTTCTTGCATCCAAAGTTTGGCGTAGAAGCTTTGCCCTCGATATCGAGGTCCATGCCAAAAGGCACCGAATTTGAGGTCGTCCTATCTCCAGCCCTGTCATCCTCCTCGCTCAGTATATTGCACATCATGCGATCGTCATACAGGGAAAATCTAGCGGTGGAACGTGCCCTTCCCCTCATCTTCCTAACGGATGGAGGCAAGTCACCAGGAGTCTTTATCCTCATGTTTGGGTCCTTCAGGGCGTTCGTGCTGGATCCCACATTAAACACCTCGTTGAACTTATCGATGCTCTCCTGTCTGGTGAGGTTGTTCTCGCTCTTCCTCATATTCCTCAGATTTACCAAGGGCAGGGTAGAAGGCCTTACACTGGATATCTCTTCGTTCTCCTGTTTCTGCTGATGAACGACACCCTGGCTGGACAGGTTCTTCTCGTTTCTTGGTGCAATGGGCCCCGAGGTCGAACTCTTGCCTACGATGCCGTTTACATATTTCCCACCTGGGGATATCGTCACATTCGTATCCACGGTCTTGATCTGGACGTTCTGCCTCGACAGGAGATTCGACTTCGAGTCCTCCCGGTCGATCTGGCACTTTCCATAAGTGTACATCTTCTTGTGGACCAGCAAACGCTTCAGGTTCGACCAGCCGGAGAACCGTCTCTTTCGAGGACTTTCCTGGGGACAGCACGTCTCGGGAATATTGGTCTGCTTCCTTTTGGTGTATATAGGCACCCCGTTTTCCGAGATGACATTCTGCACGTAAGGAATGGGCGTTGCTGGCCTTAGCTGGGTCAGTTGGGTCGCATGCTGACTCAAATAATCGTGAGACACCAGACCCTGGGCTTCACTGGGAAGGCGGAATTGTTCATTGGTCGTGTGCTTCGAGGACTTGTCTACCAGTACCTTCCCGTTGGAGCTCAGGTCCTCCAAAGAGTCCGACTGGGACATTAAGTTCCTCTCCATGCAAGGGTTCCTTCCCTGATAAGGCTGTAGCGTCTGAGCGTGGTTGCACGGCGCTACTTCGTTCGAGTTTTTAACTATGAAACAGAAAATTATTCGTATTTATACATAGCAATTAGGAATTTTATTATTAAAAAGGGTAAACAAGAAAAAATAAATTGTTTTCCCCGATTTTATTCTATAGGCTATTTACTTACAACTATGTTCGTGAGGGACACTGTCTGTTGGAGACAGTGTTACAAGGTTGTCTACCATTCCATCGGTGCTGGATGCATCATGCATTATATGAAGTGCCAGCTGAACAGCATGGGCATTATCATGATGAGGGGGACCTTCGCTGTACAGGCTGTTCGTTGTCGATGGTATTAGTCCGCAGTGGGAGTTAACCACTGGACTTCCATCGGTAAAATACATAATTACTGAAAATGACATTAAAAACTCGATTAACGAAGATTAGACGATCATACCAATTAACGAGTATGCCCATGTGTGATTTAAAATGATTTATATGACTTATGTATGTAGTAGAAGGATAAACAGAAAATGCAACATTTTTTACCACGGTGAGACTGAAGTTCAGTGAGACGTTCTTCTATACAAAGTGCAGTTAGACGAGCCTCAGCATCCGAGTCCCAACAATCTTCCATTGTTTCTTTGATTAATCTCACACCTGGTTTATCAACCAGGTTCCCCTCCAAAATAGGTCTAGCTTTGTTACGTGAAACCAAAACTTGCATTTGCTCGAACGTCGGATGAAGCCCTATATAAAANAATAATTTCTTGAAATATAATGTATGCTGTAGAATTCAATATGTTCAATGATAACTGACCGATCTCATTTTCAAAGGGCTGCTTATAGGCTGGTACTTCTGATCCAGGAACATAAATATCTGAACAACGTGACACTAATTCCCATAGAACTAATCCCATTGCATAAACGTCAATTTGCTTCAAAGAACTCTCGCAATCGCGTAGATTAACTGCTCCTTCGAGCACTTCTGGCGCCATGTATCTTAAGGTACCCACCTAAACGTATTAAAAGCAAATTAGATAAAAAGACAATGCAATAAGTTAGATCAATCCACAACAAAATAACGTAATATCCTTTACATCATTAATCGATTTCGTTTCAGCATGTTGCTCCTCTCCGTTACTATAATACTTTGACCCAGAGATTTGCACCGCAAGTCCAAGATCACAGATGCAGCAGGTGCCATCGGCTTTTATAAGAATATTCCTAGAGTTTATATCCCTGTGCGCGACACATGGCTTGAATTTATCTGAAAATATATACATTTTAATCTATTAATAATTGAAAAAAACGTATTATATATTTCGAATTAATTAAGATTTATAATAGTTACAAAAGACAATTTTAATGTACAGAGAGTTGAAATAATGACTAACCTCCTTTACGCATATCGGTGTGCAGATAAGCCAGACCTTTTATAATAGACAGGCCCATTTTACAAAAGGACAACCAGTCGATCGTGTGAGAACGTAAGAAATCTGTTAATGTACCACCAGGTGCAAAACTCAGTACTAAAAGATATTCGACACTGCTGTCCATGCTTATTCGCTCATCCACACCTGCGTTAAAGTTGTTAAAAGCATGAGCATACTTTGCATGTATCGAAAGTCTTACGATACATTAATGGATAACATTGAAGTATGTAACAATGCAAGCATAACATTACAGTACATAGACGAAAGAACATTTAACATTGATGACAGACAAGTCTGGCTGGAATAACATTGTGAGCTTTTAACATAAATATTCAAAGGCGTGTAAGTAATATTTCGCACTCCTATTAAATAAGATAAAATTTGTACTTAAATAAAAATTACAGGAGTCGTTTTGGAACCCACACGCCTCTGATTAATTTAACGTAGTAGAACGTACGTTTAAATCTTTGTCACTATTTCCAATTCGTTTATGCCTACCGTAATAACTTAGTAACGATGGATGCTCCATGAATGGCAGACAATACGTGTCCCTCTCATTTTGAAAGTAGTTGCGATAATGAGAAGGGAATATTTTAACAGCTACGTCTTGATCTCCCATACTGCCTTGCCACACCGATCCATACCTTCCTTGACCTACAATATCCATTAATCCACGAGTTGTACAACTTTTAAAACTTATAATTAAATTGTAATTGTTTATAATTATGAACAAAGTACGCATTTGTCTTACCCACGATATTAGTTAGCTTTAAGTGGTCAACCGTATAAGTTCCTGTTCTCAAAGCTGTACTCTCCATCAGATGATCGTTATATGACAAGGGCTTCCTCAGCATTGTAAAGATATTGTTATTACATACTTTATAAATAACCATAAATATGGTTCCCAGGACCAGCAATGTGCACACCAATGTTATTATCACAACAAGCAGCCAGCGCTCCGATTCCAACTGCTCCACATACTCTGTCACTTAAATTAAATTCAAGAAATTGAAAGCTATCCATGAAAACGATTGCTACAATTACCATGTATGTAGTCCTAGGAATTATTAGAAAAATATTGAATGAAATACATATGTTGACACCACAATAACATTGTTTATAGAATTGAAGTGTAAAATATTAAGTAATTTAGATTTACAAATCGCAATGGATACCACTTTATTCTTATATATTCTGCGAGAAACTGGGATATTTCATTCAAAATTTCATAGATTGACCTACGGATTGCATTTAGTTCATCATTACTGGCAGGATTAGGCTGAAGCAGCTTATTGTCCGTGTAAGACACCTCAGGTGTGTCGGTGATGTTCAGGTTGCAGAGATCTCCTTGACAACAGCAAAACTTCGTGTTGTTCATTGCTTTTGTCGAGTGCTGTAAAGCCATGCACTCTGTGTTCTCGCATTTTTGCTCACCAGATTGTTTCCAGCATCCTGCAATGATGCAATATGAATTTGTCAAATATATAAATAAACATATAATTCATATAAATCATTATCGTGCGCGCACACACACATACCTTGCAATAAAATAGTAATCTGACTACCATTTGCCGTCTTATCTTCCCTCCACAGAGCATAGCAAAAATTATTACATTTCTCATGTTTAACGCTGTTGTCACCCTGCAAAGGAAAAATATTTTCAAGCAATTTTTGATACTTTCTTTTGAATAATGAAAAACAAATTTACTCATGATCACGAATATACTTAGTACATTTCAAATAGTTAGGAAATGATTTATTAACTGTGTAGACTAAGTGCAACTTGTATTTACCTGTCCTAAAGCCAAATCATCATCTGATGCACTGTGGGATATACCATGTTGTTTCAGAGCAACGACAGTGTCATTATTTCTCATTCGACTAGCACATATTCTGCTAGCATTAATGGGAGCCGAACTTATCCCATAAAGCAGAGTGGCTAGGACCATAGAGACAATGGCTCTCATTGTGGGTTGGCAGGCCTCTTGAGCCCAAGCCACTTCACAAGAGTTGCTTCTTACGTATTGGCATATCTGGCTGTAGCGTTCTATCGCTCTGGCATAAGCCTTCTCTGTTCATCTGTTTATGAAGAGAGTTACGTAGCAAATAAAAAGTATGCCTTTGGTTTTTTCCCTTCTGCTTGGTGGAACAAGCTGAGCCTTAATTACAAGCTGTTTCTTAAGCAACCAGCCAACAGTTATTCACATTAAAGAACTGGTATGGCAACTGATCATCTCAAGCAATTTTTGTAAATATTCGTACAAAGAATATTAAGCCACGTCGAACCTAGGAAATTAATATATCACGCTTTTAAAACATTTAAAAAAGTACTAAATATCTAACAACTGTATATGACACTGTATATGACACAGTACATGTTAATTATATAACAGAATGTCAACTTACGAAGTAATAGAAAAATCTTGTTATACATTACTAAACAATAAATGGAATTCAGTACATTAATTATCAGAATATTATATGGCTTGGATCACGTTAGCTAAGAATACACGTTATCAAAGGCAAAGTACGTTGTGTACAAACAACTTCTGTGCACACCCAATTATGCGAATAATTGTATACTTTTCTCACCATTCCTTGTTTTACTATTTTCCAATCTTTGTTTGTTCTTGGTCCACTGCTACATGTTATGTTTCTGGCCCCTGGCAAAAATGTGTTCACGCTGTCATCATCCACACAAGGTTACCTGCAATTTCAAAACTTTATTAATACAGAACTCATTTCATGACGTTTTAGCATAAAAGAAGATCGATAAACAGAATTCTTACATACATGACATCCAAGCCATCAAATCGATCACTCTGCACATGGCAATCCTTTGCACTGCGAAATACAGCGAATTAAAAAGAATAGCAATTACGACTTCTAAAACCAACTACAAGATAATTGGAGCTTATGTTCGATGCACAATTTGACGAAACGAAATTTAAACAATGGGACTAAAGCTCACATCTGAAGTTAGTAACTCAAAGTTGAAGGCAACGGTGGAGAAGTATATTTCTGGAGCATTTAGAAAGGACGAAAGGAAAAGGAAAAAACACGAAGGGCGCTTGACAATTCTCCTCAGGGAATTTCCACTTACGTCAAGATCGGCCTGAATCTCGGAAACCTTACCCAAGGAGGACGCATTTTTGGCTGCGCCAACGTCCCGTGCCGCGACGAAAGCAGATAACGACTCTGAAAAAAAATATCGGTTCGACGTCTACGCGTTTGACAGGCAAACCACATCCATTGGATCCATTGAAATCGCCAAACTGAACCGACGTGTTCCTAAACCACTACAAAACGTGCAGATCACGAAAAAAAATTCTACTAGAAATTCGCCTTTACTCATCGCCCCTCTAAATTCTCAACAGCCAATGAATGCAGAGTTGAAGGTTAGGTCGTCGTGTATTAAAAAGGGACTTTGCGTGTCGCTCTTGTCACTTTTGGAACGGTTTGTATTGAGTACGCCAATAAAAAAACAAATTATCATGAAAGAAGTAGTGTCTCACTTGTGTTTACTCAGTTTTCAATACATATCTCCATTTGCAGATAATAAAACTATTAAAGTTTGTAAAAATCTACTTTATCGACTATCTAAGAGGTTGTGTAGATTCTTAGTTCCATAAGGCGAAGCTACGTAATAGTGGCGTCACTATCGGCGTGTTTGAGAACACTTGGCGGCCCGGAGCCGACATTCCCGAGCGGCGACCGTTGCGTCGTGTTTTGCGACAAAATTGTGCAAATGGTTGTCGAATCCGATGCGTCCCGCGCAATGTTTTCGGAAATTTGAGATTCATCACTTGCGAGCGGTAAACGGGAAGCTGGAGAGAAGGACTCCGTCGTGTTTCTTAAGGATCCTGCAGACAAGTAATGGTCAAACTCGCGAAGAAGTTCTACGCGGGCGATAAGGTCTTTGCGAAAGTTCGAGGTTACCCGCCATGGCCAGCGAAGGTAAGCATCCTCTCGTCACGATTGTTTCTCGTTGATTATCGTCCCCCGTTTCGAATACAGGGTGCGAGATTTCTGGTTTTCGTAGAAGCGTTGGTTTTAGGTTAGATCCCGCAGAGAGGAAGACCTCGTTGGAGCATCCTATCCCCTGGGCGAGCATACCGCTTCTTCCCGCTTCTCGTCGCCATCTGAAGCTTGCGTGTACGCGTACCAAGAGTCGGGCGAGATACGGTAGCGACGTAGGAAATAGTTTAGCAGGGCGAGTAGGTAGTCCACGGTAAACTTATTGTGGAAAGTAGTCGATAGTACAGGGAATAAGGGAGTAAGGTTACTACATATTTTAATCACTGCTTAGACCAAGCACTCATGATCCACTTCTGTGTATTTTTAAGAATGCCACTATATATATTCTACGTGCTTAGATCGTCGTTTAATAACGAGTCACCTTTTGCTGAAGTTTTTTAGCGATTTTAATTCATCCAAGAGATGTTCTAGACTTGTAGCTTTTTGAACGTCTATATATTTGGGCAAGGAGCACCTTGGAGTCTTAAACTTTATACATTTAAAGATACTTAAGTTTTATGAAATAAGTCCAAGCATAGATTTACAGTTTTGCATTTCTATGGAGCACTTGTGCATACATGCCTCATATTATCGGTTAGCAGTTTATTCCTTTTGCTCGTAGATAGAAGGAGTCATTGATGCCAACACAAAGAATGCTAGATATAACGTGTACTTTTACGGTACTGGAGAAACGTGAGTAACGAGACGAGATAGCCATTTGTCTTCATTCTTAGGAAGAGGAAATGGAACATAGCATGAAATGTATGTTTCAGAGCTATTTGTAAAGTAGATGAACTGTACGTTTATGCCGAAAATAAGGATAAATTTGCAAAGCCCTCGAAAAGAAAACGTTTTACCGACGGTCTAGAGCAACTTGAGCGAGAACTCAGAAACGACCGATCAGCACCCACAACTACTGTCGCAGACATTAAAGGCAAGTACAATAAATTACATAACAAAATAATACACTGTTCAATAACTTAAAGTGGATATTTTGCCGATATTCTTTGATAGTATTCTAGTGCTGGGATTCATATTTGCAGGTGAAGAAACGGTTAAAGAAAAGGACAGTACGGTAGAATCCACTAGCGTCATGGATAGTGATGCAGAAGGTGGTCCTCTGGTTATTGACGAAGGAGACAAGAAAAAACCACTTTCGAGAAAATCATTGCCTACCATGGCCACTACTCCGGTAAACATTTTTATGAAAAATTTAAGAACTTCCTTTAATTTAATTTAACTTTAATGAATTTTGGGATATACAATGTTTCCCATGTAGCATACTGTTGAGTAATGGTGCTGCATACATTTTAATTCCCTATATCAATAAAGAATTGCCGACAGGACGTCTTTAAGCCTAGAAGTCCTGTGCGATTATTCTTTACAAATTATAAAATACTTTTTAAAGTATAGTACAAGGCACGAGGAATTCAAAATTATAAAGATGTTAGAAATCATAGTAGTTAATAAAACTTCAGTATATCGGATACCTTTGAATTATCTTGACGTTAGATAAATTAGTATACATGATTTTGATTTGATGAATCCAGTAACCTAAGATATCTAATCGCATTTTATTTTGTAAGCAGGGTGCTCCTGAAGTAAAGAAACGTCGTGGTAGGCAAAAGGCGACGCCTACAGCTGATACTTCATTGAAACAAAGTGCGTTACTTGATTCACAAGGCGAGGAGTCACCTGGAAAGGAAGTTGTTAGTCGCAGTGGTAGAAGAATAAAACCTAAACGTTTTGCCGACTTCTCCAGTTCAGAAGAAACTGAGGCGAATAAAAATGGTATGTACTATTTTGTTAATTTAATTGTATTATCTGATTTCTGTTGTCATTAATAAAACTAACTATAAGGGTTAATAATATTAAATAAATTTAGATACAAACTTTGGGAACTCTAAAGTATCATATGAGGTTTTATTAAATTTCTAAGATTACGATCCTCTTAAAAATTCTGACAGAAATAGAAATCGCTCAAACAGATGATAGCTCCAAGTTGGAAATAGTACCTCGCACGACGTATGAAGCTCAACTGAAGTTGACAGTAGTGACCTTTGCGGAACAATTTGGCAATCGTGTTGCACAGCGACAATATGGCATCGATGAGAGGTCAGTCTAGTTTGGTGACCACTTGTTCTCGCGTTCTTATCTAATTCCTGAATTAGTTGACCAAATGAGATCTCTGTGATAGATCTAACTTTAGATTTTAAATTATAACACCTTGCGAAGTGGTCACCTCAGCTAGTAGTGGCCTGTCATAAAATATCTGGAAATTTTCCTCTTAGCGTCATTTTGAATAGAAGAAAATTTAAGCGATCTGGTATAGTTACATAGCAGAACATACAGACTACAAAAGCTTGAGGCACCATGTTGTAAGAGTTTCTGGAATAGTTGCTCTCAGGAAAATTTCCAGATTAAATCTATCCGATGCTTTCCCATCATTAGGTGCATTCGTCGCTGGCGAAATCAAATACAAGCCCTGTCAGATTGCCAGGACCGGAGAAAATCCTTCTCGGGGCCAAAAACTGGACGCAATGCTGAGCTCGAGATAATGCTGGCTAGTTATGTCAAAGAAAAATTAAGCCGGAACGTTGCTGTATCGTGTTCAGAGATCAAACGAAACGCTCTTGAGCTAGCAAGCCTGCAAGGCATTTCTCGTCAAGAGTTTAGGGCCTCTCACTCGTGGGTTATCAACTTTAAGCATCGTCATGGTTTTACTTTGTCTAGAGCGAAAGGTGTGCATTGAAAAGATAATTCCTGTTCAGTTTCTTTCCTTAGAAAAGTGACTTGTTGCTTACTTCATATTTAATATTGGGAAATTATGTCTGTTATTTTATTAGGTCATCTGTCTAATCCGTATAACGTATCGATATTGGCCACAATTTACAAATATTTAATATTTACAATAAATAATATATTGCGTACGAAATTATTTAACAATTTCGTTTAAGAAACAAATGTTATTTTGTTTTAGATACTCCAGTACGTGGCAGGGGGAGACCGAAACTAGAAGATTCCAGTGAAAGTCAAGCTTCACCTTCGATTGCTGTCCACAGAAAACGCGGGGCTGAAAGTGAGTGCGATGCTTTAACGCTGTGGCTGTTTCATTATCTTTCTTGAAGATAATAATATTATTTTGCAAACTTTGATGATGTTATTTCTAATAATAGTTTATTAATTTTCGCAGTTCATATATCACTATTTCTAAAAATAATAACTCATTAAATTGTTTACAAAGTTGTTTGGTAGGATAGATCTGATTGGTTAACCCTTTGACTGCTATGGGGGCATATATGCGTCCAGCAAAGGCTATCAGTGTGGCCTATGGACGCATATATGCTCCAGGCGAAAGCTCTCGGTGTAGACTATGGACGCAAATGCGCGCTCGGCGAAAGCTCGGCGAAAAAGTATTCAGTCCCCAGCGATCACTATTGCGGGCCGCATGCCGCTCACGCGAAGCGCTTCAACTTGGAGCAGTTAGCAGTCAAAGGATTAATAATTTAATAAAAAACTGTTTTGTTTAGAATTCTAGGACGTTTAGATGTAAATCTAAATGATACGTATTTACAAGAGTATGTGAAATTTTTCAGAAAAGAATAACGTTGCGGATTCCTTGGCAACGGAAAGCCCCATTGTCTCCAGTACAACTTCTTCGGACTCTCCGGGGCGTGTCTTGTTAGCACGCACCTTCGCCGGGGAGTACGTTGGCATAAAACTCGACGTGGACAGACCGAAGACCTTCGAAAGCGAAAAGGCTAGGACACAATGGGATTGGTCGACCGCCAGGAACGCGATGAAATTGAAAGCTCAATTAGAAAGTGGTGAGATATTGCCGGAACAGGTGAAGGATTCCCTCGACTTCAACGTGCACGTTCCGGAGTTCGAGAAGAGGGTCCTGGAAAAGGATGGGGCCGTTCATCGTAAGAAATACAGGCTAAGGTACACCGAAGATATTTGTGGGTGCAAGAGTTATTAATGAGTATTTAAGGCATTTTCATCATCTTCCTCCGTTGTTAATTTCAGATGGCTTCGCATAGAATCGCAGATGCTTCAGCTAGACGCTCAAATAAAGTCTAACCTGGGCCTGGATCGCATCGACGCCAACAAATGCTTACAGGCTATGGACGATCTTCTGGGTCTACCCATCGATCCATTGATGCTGAAGAAACACCCTCACATAGTTGAAACCATCAAAAGGGTAAGTAAGAATCAATGAGAAGTGAATGTAGAAAAACGCGACACCCTAAAAAGTCACATTCACTATTCATAACACGAGCATAAATTGATTTTATATCCTTTCAGTTGCGGCGTTACATCGGCAATTTAGCGGACTGGAAACTGACCGAGGAGGAAGTGGTTAGTGGGATATACGATCGTTTTTAATTATTTTACAGTCATAAATTCAGAATTTATATATCTTTTTCGATTGTTACTTCCCCAGGTCGCGTTCAAGCAGAAGGCGGAACAAATCAGGCAGAAGGCTGAACACATATACAACAAATTTAAGGTATACCTTGTCTTTTTACTGACAATCATGCAGCAGATAAAACGGACTTGCTGAATTGTATTCTGATTTTTTTTTTTTTTTCTGTTCCCAGGCTATGTTCACCATACCGGAAGGTCAGTCTTTCTGGCAGTCCTTCTCCGATCAAGTGGTACATTTCAAGGAGCTGACGAAAGATATGCCCGAGGAAAAAATGTTCTCTCTAATGTCAGATCCCGCGTGTCCAGGTGAACACTCTGCAGCATCCGTCTGTCCGGGCATTTTTCACTGAAACTTAGATATATTTCCATTTTTAATTTTCACTTTCTTTTTCGTATATCGTCTGGTTACGGTTATTAGTCGGTAACTTATATTAGTTGGAGAAACTTATCGAGTATGTGTAATTCCACAGACGCACCCACATCTTTAGACACCTTACCGGACGAGGGTAACAGCCGACCGGATTCGGGAACAACCGCGGAAGCGGAGGCTGAAAGGACACCAGCAAGACGTACCACGCCAACAGAGACTGAGACCAAGTAACGTCGAACGGTCCTTTCGATTGGAAGACTCGAAGAAGAGCTTTCTTTTTCTTTTTTTCTCTCTTTTTTTCTACCACCAGTCGCTGTACATGTCTACAAAGAAGAGACGCTTTAACCGGGCGAGGCGCAGTGCGAGAACTTTTTCGCGCTGAAATCATCTCTTGGCCTACCGAGAGTCTAGCAAAGAAGGAGCATCGGTTTCTTTTTTTATTTTATTCGCAAATAAGGCCCCTTCGTTTGCTTTAAACGGTGCGAACGCGACGAGCGTCCCTCTCGTCAACCAAATACGAGGTCGTCCTTTGCGCCGGTACCCATACTTTGTTTCTCGTATTTCCGAGGCTTTTGTTTCGTCGCTGGTACACTTGGAGCGCACCAAAGAGGACACTCCGCTTCGCCGCAATTTACCGGTATCGCTTAGCAATAAAGACGTAATATTGTTTAGGGGTCTAATTGTTGAGAGACGAGTGGCCATTGAAACGGCGTTATTAAGTAAAGCATTTTATGAAAATAGCATTCGGCTATTAAGGACACGTAACTTTGCTCAGAGGAGGTGCGTCCTGCAAGCGGAAAACAATTTTGTCGGAAAAGACTCCTCGGTTAGAGACTTGGGAATTCTCAGTTCTTCAAATTGCAACCGAGCAAGCATAAATTGGTTTAAAGTCTCGTAGCTTCTTTCATTACGGTGCGTCGGAAAAAAAAAAAATCGTGATAATCAGAAACTAACATATTTCGTTTAGGATAATGTATGAAGCTTGAAGTATACGCTGTCTCTTCTCATTGTGCTAAACCATACATCTGGGTATCAGATTCTTCGATTTTTTACGTGTTGTAGTTCTTCTGGCGAGCAGTAAATATTTTCTCACGAGTGTTCTTAAGGACCTACCAGAGGGGATGAAATTATTAGTCGTCAATTATCTGCGAATGTTACTTCACCGGGTAACTTCAGGGCGAGCCTTTTTCGTAAGCTTGCACCTCGATTGATTTAAACGTCGTTTCCAGGCCACGTTGTCTCGACACACAACTCTTAGCCGTTCTAGTTGCAATTTCAGTCTCACGCCTCGCGAGTTAGAATTCCATTCGACGCTTACATTGCACTTGTAAAGGCAGTTCAAAGAGCCGAGTGTATTAATATCCTCCGCGTTTGATTCGTTTCCTCGACACCCGTCACACGTCTCGCGACATTTTTCCATCCCTCTTCTTCTTCTTTTTTTTTTCTTTCTTTTCAAGTGTTTTCGTTTATATCCAACTGAAATTTTTCCCACATTTCGGTAGGCTTCTATCGACACCGAACATTTCCGGTTTTATTCGGGAGACACCAGGATAATTGGACTCTTAACGTTAGGAAATTAACGTTTTAGATTGATAGTTAGGTATAATGTTGGTCACTTTTCTCTCTTTTTTTTTTCCGTTTATTTTTTATTGTATTATTACGAAAGTATTGTAAAGATTAGCACGGTATAGGATCTACTTTAATAGTCCGCTCTCACAGCGCCATTCGGTAAATGAACACGTGCTTGTAAGTCGACGTCGACACGACTTATCGGTCGACGATAAATGGGTAAACGTCACGTGCGAATGTTTCTTACGAGGGCAGGCACGTGGAATTATTTTCCCTTTTTTCCCCCCCTTTCTTCTCCCGAAGGAAAGCGCAATGATACTTCAATTTCAACGTGTACGCGGCTCGGCCGTTTTTTGTCGGGTGAAGGATTGTCGTGGGGTTCTTTTAGATTGTACAAGTAACGGTGATTAGTGTGAATGAACTTATAAAAATTGTTAAACGGAGCACCTCTCTTTGAACATTTAAGATGATATGAAAGAGTTATTTTATATATATATATATATAAATATATATGAAATGTGAAAATATTTATAAAACTTTTCTTCAAACTGAGTGCATCGAATCATTTTAAACTTCAACACGTGATTATGGAGGGAAAAAAAAATGTGGTTTCCGTTTTAGTCGAGGCTAAATAACAAAAATTTTCTTTGAAAAATGAAATTTCACGAGCATCGCGTTCTTCCTTAAGGCCTTCATAATCACGTGCTACAGTTTTGGTGCATCTAGTTTGGAGAAAAGTTTTATAAACATTTAGAATGACCCTTTCATATCACCTTAACGAAGTACACGAACCTTGTAAAGTGCGTACTGAAATATGCAACTCGCGAGTTGCAATTGTAAATATACAGGCCATGAATAACTAATTAGGGCGTTAGAAAGTTAGACTATCGAGGGGAACCTTTTTACTTGGATAACAAGGATTAACAGGAGTCGAATTTACGAAATTAATATGTATAACTTTGATTAGGATAGGGATATACATATATATATCGAAACCCGCGAGGTCTTTATCATTTTCAATTTTCATTTCCTTTATTTTTTGTTTGCGGCAAGGACGGTATCTCTCGTTTCCTTCGACACTTCGTCTGAATTAGGTCTTTTTTTCCGTTACGCCATTTGCATACTGGCTAGCTCCACGAATCTGCTTTTTCCTCTGTGTAACTGTTAACGAAAAATAATTCTATCTTAAGGAGGGGGGAAAAAGAAAAAAGAAACTCGAAGAGAAGAAAAAAACGAGATAATTATTCCAGACATGGGCAACGGTGTTCACTTTTTCGGCGGTTTAAATCGCGCATTCGTTGTGTCGGATTTTCTTGCAGTAGCTTCTCCGTCTTACTGATAGATTTACCGACTGTAATTACATATCCTGACATTTAGAGCTCCACTTGCGGAAGGGTGAGGTGCACCTGTAAAAACGAGATAACAATGGTTTCCTTCGAAATAAGATCAATTAACCGTGGACAAATGATTATTATAGCCGTTCTCTTGAGAACGTTCATCGCATTGGGTTGGTAATATTTCTTCTTCGAGGGTCGGTAATAATTTGATTAAACCCAGTGCCCATTTCTGAATGATTTCGATGGCTTGTTATTTACCTGACGGTAACTTTCAATTCTTAAGTTCTGTCCCGCCCTTGGCCTACGGGCGATAAAAAAAAAAAAATAAAAGAAAGAAGTACAAAAGCTTTGCCACGATTTGCCTTACGCGGATAACGACCGAACTATTTGGTAATTGTTGTAAAGGTTCAATCTCCACTCTAGGGTTGAACCCTTTGAATTCTTTCGGATCGTGGAGAACAGACTGAAGGTCACCTCGTCTGTCGAGTCTAATTCTAAGAATAAACATAATCTCGAAACTTTACAAAATTACAGCCTTAAGGTAACGAGTGAATCTACGTCGTGGGGGGAATAATCGAGTTCCACGTTGATTGCGTACGCGTGAAAGCTTATGTGGCGATCTTTTGGCAAAAAGGATTTCTCATTTCTGATACGTATAATTCTTTTCTTTTTTTTTCTTTTTTTTTTCTTCATCTCTAGGCGAATCATCTCTTCTGTATCCTTCGTCGGTGCTTGCGTTGGTAGTTTAGTTGTTGAGAAATAATACCTAGTTGCTTATCGAAGTATGGGGAGTAGTTTCAAACACCTGTTTCGTCTTCTTTGAAGTGCATTGATAATAGCAGTACGGAAATGCCCTTACGATGTAATTGTTTATCGAGGGTGCGCAAGCGAACCAAGTCGCTTTTTAAAAGTCATCCGAAGTGTTAGGAAAATTGCGACGGAAATGAAGTAACGTCTCTTCGTAAGGGTTCTTCGGCTCTGCTTGGTACCATTATCAGATGTTTTGTGCCGTTTGAAAGCGATATGGAAAAAAAGAGTTACACCTAATTCGAATAAGATAGAATTAATGTTCATTCCCTTGCCACGGAGTAAGGGGATTACCTCTCTAGAGTATGCGTTAAAGAAAAACATTAAATATTCGGAAATTGTTTATTTGAAGTGTATCACAGATATTTTGAATAAAAAAAAATGTTACATGTCAAGTTCGATGGTTTCTGGGTGGAAGAGGAAAAAGAAGGGTGAGGAGATTGTAAGGAAGACGGTAGAGATGTGATTTGATGCTGTTTCTGTTTTCTTTCAACAGGTGGCGACACACTCGCGTGCAATTCTTTTCATTCGGTTTCTGTAGACTTGTTCTCCATCTTCACGTTTATATCCCCCATGGCGGTATTTACGTTTCGCGGTGCCGCCAATTGAATTCAATTTTACTGGATTTTACCCAATTTTACCAGAGAGAAGATGAGAGCAGAGGCTAGTAACATTTATGCCCGATTTTTTCACCTATAGATAAGTTCCCGATAAGGTTATTCGGAAGATATCTTTCAATTCGGTTCTTTTCACTTCCAGTTTAAAAGTTATCCGTTGGATAAAGTTATATGATAGTTTTGAGTAGCAGATATCTGGCAGATATCTACTATATAGCACCCTCGGAGCACTTGGAAATGTTTTGTATAACTTATAGATTACGAACGGGTTAAACCTAACAAATTGGTTGCGTGGTCCACGGAGAATGACCAAACGAACGATAATTTTGTGGTCAGGATGACGAACGATAAATATGCGATAGTTTAATCAAAGTGTAAATGTTTTCAATTTTCTTTCCTTTCTTTTCATTTAATGCTGAACCCTAGCCAATTAATTAATATTAATAATGCGTATTCTGTGATATTGACTCGTTAATCGTATCAGTTACAGAGATGAGTTGGGAGATTGCTCACGCGCATGGTCGCGCGATCGCCCCGTGTGCTGCCCTCTGATTTCGTACGTTAGCTTTCACCGTTTTTTGCCCCCAAGGGCGGCGCAACGAATTTCTGGTAGGGGCTCGCGCAATCGCGATGGCTGTGCCATTTACCAGTTGCCGCTGGCGGTTCACGTATTCG